TGGTAACTCTGGCGGTATGAATGATGAGATTGAAAGAAAAAAGGCAAACTTTAGACGTATAAATAAGAGAGTAAAAGAAGTTGTTGAAAGGAAAAAGCAAGAAAGGATAGATAAGAATGATAGAAGGATATCTGATAACTTCCAGGAAAATATTAAAATGTTCTGGAAGCTCGTAAGAACTGCCAGGGGAAATTCAAAACAGCCTAGAATGAATGCTATACGAGACGAGAATGGCTGCATGCTGAATGATGAAGTTTCGAATTTGAAAAGATGGAAGGAATACTTTGAAAGCGTGTTTAAGAGTGAAGAGTCGTCTGAAATAAGTGAAATAGAAATTCCGGAAGAAGTGGAGAGAGGTAGGGAGATAAGTGTAGATGAAATAATGAAAGCAATGAAAAGCATGAAAGCAGGTAAGGCAGCCGGATATGATAGAGTATCACTCGAAATGCTAAGGGCTGGTGGGGGTGTGGTTGCAGGCCTGCTGCACACCTTGTTTAATTTATGTTGGGAACTGAAACGGGTACCGGAAGACTGGTGCAAAGCCGTTATAGTCCCAATATATAAGGGAAAGGGGTCGCAGCAGGACTGTAAAAACTACCGTGGTATCAGCTTGCTTAGCATTGTGGGTAAACTGTATGCTAAGGTGTTAATTGAAAGAGTTAGGGAAGAAACTTATGGAAAAATTTGGGATGTGCAAGCTGGATTTAGAAAGGGGATGGGGTGTACGGATCAAGTCTTTTCCATGCGCATGATAGCGGAGAAGTTTTTGGCTAAAAACCAGAAAGTTTTTTGTGCGTTCTTGGACTTGGAAAAGGCTTATGACAGAGTGGACAGGAACGTGTTATGGCAAACACTGAACTCATTTGGGTTGAGCGCTGGCTTGATACAGGCATTAAGGTCTCTTTATAGGGACTGTAGTGCTTGTGTCAGGATCAACGGGGTCTACTCGGACTGGTTTGGCATTCATAAAGGTGTCAGACAGGGATGTGTGGCTTCCCCGTGGCTGTTTAACCTATTTATGGACAGTTGCTTGCAAACTTTGAAAGTTGAAGAATGTGGGTTGAGAATGGGTGAGTCAACCGTCAAATGCCTTTTGTACGCCGATGATCAAGTCATATTTGCATCGTCGGCGGCCGAGTTGCAAATGATGGTTACTTTAATGAATTGGTCATTGAAAGAAAGGGGTATGAAAGTGAACGCAAGTAAGACGAAAGTGATGGTTTTTGAAAGAGAAGAAAGTAAAACTTTATGTGAAATAAGGATAGAAGGGGAGTTGATTGAGCAAGTGGATGAGTTTGTATATTTGGGATGTTTATTTAGCAGGGATGGTAGATATGATAAGGATATAGAACGACGAGTGAACGCAGGAAATAGAGTGAATGGGGCTCTACACGCTATTGTGAGGAGTCAGAATGTGTCAACTAAGGCACGTATGGCAATTCATAATGCTGTGTTAGTACCCACTTTAATGTATGGTAGTGAAAGTTGGGTCTGGCAGAAGAAGCATGAGAGTAGAATAAATGCTGTAGAAATGCGTTCCTTAAGGAGTATGCTAGGGCTGAATCTGAATGACAGGGTGAGAAATAGTGTAATAAGACAAAAGTGTGGTTTGCAAGATGACGTTGTGACAAGGATTAAGAAAGGAATGCTTCGGTGGTTTGGTCACGTAGAAAGAATGAACGAGGAAAGAGTGACAAAGCAAATTTATGTTGCAGAAGTGAACGGCAGGGTCGGGAAGGGACGCCCTAGACGAAGGTTTATCGACCAAATCGGCGATACATTAAAAATGGGCCAGATTAGGAGTACCCTTAACCGACGAGCGTGTATGCGTAGATATATGGATGTAAAAGAGGCGAGAGAGGTGTGTCAGGATTGCGCCAAATGGAAGTCCGTAGTCTCTGCCTACCCCTCTGGGTGACAGGCGTGAGTGTTTATGTATGTATGTAATGTACCTAGCCCTAACAAAACAAAAAAAAAAAACAAAAAAGGAAGAAAAAGTATTAATTTATTTTTATAACACGGCCGAGGGTAATTGGAGAACAATTAACCACGCTGCCTGCTACCAAAATGTACACGCCCCTAGCTGCCCCGACAAAGATCGAACATACAGGGGCCCATACAGCTGTAGATTCGACGGACAACTAAGGGTGGGGCCCAATGGCCTATGGAGACTTAACCTACACGATAGATATAAGGCTAGGTAAATAAATAGTACGTACCTGGTTACGAAGCTAAGACTGACCACAAAGCTCGGTCAGGCGGTAGGTAGGTGCATGTAAGTAGTGTATAGTAGTGTGTATAATGTTTGACCTGACTTAACCGTTGAAGTCGGACCGCAGATCCAGCGTTGCTTCTCTCCAAAGGTGGTAGTTCACTTTATCCGATCTCAAGTCTGACGTCACTTCACTATTACAGTTTATCAACTTTATTGTACACTATTTCAGTCCATCAACTTTATTGTACATTTAATTAACTTCAAACTCAACTAAATCACGTTTCACGTAGCAACAAGATTATAACCACGAACAAGAACGCGATCTCTTCTCGAGTCACAAAGTTCAGCGTTACAAACGACAAACTAAATTCCTTCGTACGATATTAAATACTACGCCCGCATTAAGACTTAAAATCAGCCTAGCTGACACGCAAACTTACTACATAGTCAACACACAAAAGGCACTTAACGCGACGGTACAATTAAACATTAACTTTAACTTTAACTTCCAAACCAATTAACCGGGCCACGCCCTAAGTCTCTTGTCCGAAACGTACAACTTAGACAAACTAATTCGAGGCGGTCTACACGAAACCCAATTTCAATAGCAAATTAAACGCGCTCATATACTCAAATTCTAGACCACATAACCAAAACCTGGTCCCGCGAAGCCGATGTAGCGGTCCCAAAAATTCGCTAATAGACCGCCGCTGCTGTCAAGCTACTGACCTCGCACTCACGAGGCCGAACGTTGGGAAGTGGCATATCGCTGCCCCCCCCCCCCCTCCCCCGCACGTCACCACACACCATCGAGCGATGCGCCCAGTCCAACGCAATTGGATGGCGTATCAAGTGCCCATGTTTGGGCCTAAACAGGTACTATACGCGTGCCACCTACTGTAACTTAATTGTACTATGCTTATAACCTTCGCGCAAGTGCAAGCAATAAGTTGACAAAGCTTTAACGTAATCTAATGAACAGCAAGGCAGCGCATAAAATACGAACAAACAAAAACATTTTTTATATATTAGATTTAATACATACATACATACATACATACATATAATCACGCCTTTTTCCCGTAGGGGTAGGCAGAGACCAGTTCTTTCCACTTGCTACGATCCTTACATACTTGTTTTGCTTCGTCCACTTTCATTATTCCCTTCATACTTAGATACATACAGGCCTATCGCCATCACCTCCTTGTTCTCCAAAATAATGGAATCCCATTATAAACTGCCAGCTCATGAGGTACCTTGAGGATCACCAGCTGATCAGTGACCGTCAGTACGGTTTTCGTCGGGGTCGATCAGCAGGTGATCTTTTAGTTTACTTAACTCATAGATGGGCGGAGGCAGTAGAGTCCAAGGGGGAGGCATTGGCCGTTAGTTTGGACATAGCGAAGGCCTTCGATCGGGTCTGGCACAAGGCGCTTCTTTCGAAGCTTCCTTCCTATGGGCTTCCCGAGAAATTGTGCAAATGGATCACCAGTTTCCTTGCTGATCGGAGCATCAAGGTCGTAGTAGACGGTGCATGCTCTGATTACAAGCCTATCAACGCTGGTGTTCCACAAGGCTGCGTGCTATCACCAACGCTGTTTCTCCTGCATATCAATGATATGCTGCTAACTGGTAGCATTCATTGCTATGCAGACGACAGCACTGGGGATGCCTTATATACCGGCCGTGCCAATATTTCTCGGGAAAACGTCGCCGAGTACCGGGACAAACTTGTGTCTGAAGTCGAGTCTTTGCTTAACAAAGTCTCGGATTGGGGCCGACTAAATCTAGTCCAGTTCAATCCCCAGAAGACACAAGTTTGCGCGCTTACCGCTAAAAAGAACCCCTTTGTCGTATCTCCTCAGTTTCAAGGCACTCCCCTTGCTGCCTCAGCCAGTATCGGAATCCTTGGCGTCGACATATCGAATAGCGTGCAGTTTCGTGGTCACTTGGAAGGGAAGGCCAAATTGGCCTCTAAAAAGCTTGGCGTGCTCAGCAGAGCGAGACAGTATTTCATGCCGGCACATCGCTTGCAACTTTACAAAGCGCAAGTTCGGCCCCACATGGAATACTGTTCTCATCTCTGGGCCGGGGCACCCCAGTGCCAGCTCCTTCCACTTGACCGCATCCAGCGCAGAGCGATTCGAATCGTCGACGACCGAGTTCTTTCCGATCGGCTCGATACACTGGCACTGCGTAGAGATGTTGCATCTCTTTGCGTATTTTATCGCATCTATCACGGGGAGTGCTCTGAGGAATTGTTCGGACTAATTCCAGCCGCTCAATTTCACCATCGCACGTCGCGACAAAACTCGCGTTACCATCCATACCATCTGGATGATTGGCGGTCCACCACTGTGCGATTTAGAAGAAGTTTTCTCCCTCGCACAACTTCTTTGTGGAATCAATTACCACCAGCGAATTTTCCGAACCGATACGACTTAGGAACCTTCAAGAAAAGAGCTTACACCTTTCTAAAAGGCCGGCAACGCATCTGCAATTCCCCTGGTGTTGCGGTTGTTCATGGGCGGCGGTAGTCACTTAACATCAGGTGAGCCGCATGCTCGTTTGCCCCCTATTCTATAAAAAAAAAAAAAAAAAAAAAATACATGCTCTACGGTTTAGGGTACTCTTGACCTGACTTTTTTCAAGACGTCCCTGATTTGGTTTTGGGATTTAATACAATACATATATAGTATATGAATAATAAATTAGAAATTATATATAAAATATATGTATTGGTGTAATGATTAAAAAAAAACATTTAAGCTATTTCCAATTTCAGGGTGCGGTTAGACCAGGTTTTGGAGCAGACAAGATAGCGGTTGTCTTAAGAAACCTAATGCATCGACTTGGCCATAAGAAATTCTACGTACATGGTGCTGATTGGGGGTCGGTGGTTGCTAGTAATATAGCAACTTTCTTTCCACTAGTAAGTTTAAAGTTACAGCCTATATATGTCCCACTGCTGGGACACAGGCCTCCTCTCATTTCTGAGAGGGTTTTAGGGCAAGGAAATTGTCCGCCGCGCCGCCCCAATGCGTGTTGAAGAACTACACACGTCTTCGAATTTTTTTTTGTCTCAGACACAGGTTTTCTCACGACGTTAACGTGGTGTGCACATGGTAAATCGGCACTTAAAATTGCAATTAAGAATTTCATTGGTGCCGGCGGGGATCGAACCCGGGTTACTCGAGGACTGTGAAATTTACAGCGAGCGGTTAGCCCCTGAGCTACTAACGCGAGCAACTCTAGTTCGATTCCCGCCGGCATTATGAAATAGTTAATTGTATTAACAGTGCTGATTTATCACGTGCTCGGCGGTGAAGGAAAACATCGTGAAGAAACCTGCATGTCTAAGAAATAAGAAAAATGATATTTCTAAGAAATGTGCAGTTCGACAACACGCATTGGGGCAGCGCGACGGACATTTCCTTGTCCTAAAACCCTCTCAGAAATGGGAGGAGGCCTGTGCCTAGCAGTGGGACGTATATAGGCTGTAACTTTAATTTTATACTATCTTAATGGGTATAATAATTTCTTATTAATCGTTAATCACATACACAATAATCAAAGGCCTGCTGGAAGGATAAGTATATTAGATTTACAATCATACACTTTTTTTACGTATATCGAATCGATTTGTCAGCGAACGCCGATAAGGAAGTCGAGCAATGTTTTATCCGACTTATGCACGCGTCACGCCCTGCACTTGTCGCCTACTAAATAAATCCTAAGTAAATTTTGTAAATAGTTTCATCATCATCATCATCATTACAGCCCTTCACAAGTCCACTGCTGAACATAGGCCTCCCCCAAGGAATGCCACAAAGCACGGTCCTGAGCCACCTGCATCCATCGACTTCCTGCATGTCTCACCAGGTCGTCACTCCATCTAGTGGGGAGTCGCCCTACACTTCGCCTACCGGTACGAGGCTGCCACTCGAGAACCTTTTTTCCCCAACGGTTGTCGGATCTTCGAGCTATATGGCCGGCCCATTGCCACTTCAGCTTACTAATCCGTTGGGCTATGTCGGTCACTCTGGTTCTACTGCGGATATCCTCATTTCTAAGTTTATCACACAGAGACACCCCGAGCATAGCCCTCTCCATAGCTCGCTGAGCGACCTTGAGCTTCCTCATACGGCCAGCAGTGTATATCTTATGTGCAACCTTTATGTACAACCTAGTGTATAGTTTATGTAAAACCTTTCATGTAAAATTTACTTTAAAAAAGAGTTGCGCTAGATTTCTTGCTGGTTCTTTCCAAGACAGAGATTTTTCGTGCTGGGCACAGGCCTCCTCTCATTTCTGAAACGGTTTTAGGACAAGAAAAAACCCTACGCGCTACCCCTATTCGTATTGGCGAACTTCACATGTCTTTGAAATATTTTTGTTCTTATTTTTCATACATGCAGGTTTCCTCACGATGTTTTCCTTCATCGCCGAACACTCAGCACTTAAAATTGCTATTAACAATTTCATTGCTGCCGGCAGGGATCGAACCCGTGTTGCTCGCGTGCTGTGAAATTTACAGTTAGCGCTTAACCCCTGAGCTACCACGGCTCCTCGCGTAAGTCTTTACGGTTTTTCTACTTCACAAAAGCGAGGACACTCAATTCGACTGTATGTTTTTTTATGTGTATTACCTCATAACTTTTATCTGGGTGAACCGATTTCGATGATTCTTTTTTTATTTGAACGTTGGTACTTCTCATGTGGTCCCATATATTTGATCAAGGTCTGACCAATAGTTTTCGAGTTATTTTTAATAATTTATATTGAATTCGGTTGTACAAAAATTTAATTTTAAATTATAAATTATCGAACAGTTACAAAAAGTTAAGTTCTTTTCCATAGTGACCACGATACTCGTAAAGCACGCCTTCTAGCTGTTTCGACTAAGGAATCTAGTCACTGGTTACACGCTTTACCATCAAGTACCTAATCTCGGCACATTACTTGATGGTGAAAGCTTGCGTATTGCCGTAGGAATCCGACTAGGAGCGGCGCTTTGTCAACCCCATGAGTGCCCCTGTGGTAGAAGCGTCGACAAGTTTGGGCTCCACGGACTTTCATGTAAGAAACGCACTGGTAAGTTTTCACGACACAGTTCTTTAAACGATGTCATCCGAAGGGCTCTTGTCTCTATAAATGTTCCCTCGGATTTAGAGCCTTGTGGAATATTTAGAGACGATGGCAGGAGACCCGACGGTATGACATTGGTCCCTTGGGAGAGAGGTAAAGCCCTAGTGTGGGATGCTACTTGCGTAGACACTCTGGCGGCCTCTCATCTCAGGGGTACCTCGTTTAGAGCTGAACTGAAGTGAGTAAGTGGCGCAAATATGAGTCTCTGAGAGATGACTACTGTCTGCTGTGTTTCGTATGGTGAGTGTAGAGAACCGGAGACCCTTTTTACTGGAAAAGAGGCAGTCTATCTTAGTCCTCACGGCTGACAACGCATCTGCATTTTAATTCGCAAACGGACATAGATGTAGATGTCTATGGGCCACAGCAACCACTTACCATCAGATGGACTGTGTGCTCGTTTGTCACCCTTATTCTATAAAAAACAAACGAGAAAGAGTGTTAGTTTTTCTACTGACTTCAAAAAGTTGTAGGTACTCAATTCGACTGTATGTTTTTTTTATGTGTGTTACCTCATAACTTTTTTCTGGGTGAATGATTCTTTTTTTAATTGAAAACTGGTGCTTCTCATGTCGTCCCATATACATTTGATCAAGGTCTGACTAATAGTTTTTAAATTATTCTTAATAATTTATGTTGAAGTCAGTTGTACAAAATTTTTAATTTAAAATTATTTTTAAAGGTATATAGACAGTTACATGGCACTCACTTGATACACTACGAAAGTTTTTAAGGCCGTTATTTTTGAAGAGATGGTCGAAGTTCACCTACGAGTTTGGTAAACTTATCTTTTGAAATTCTGTAAAGGTACAGAAATTTACCATCCTTTAAATCCAAGATGTTTTTACTTTCGCGCAGGTTTCGTGTGATTTGTTGGCGCATCTACATAAAGTACATATAACACGTCTGTGTTCGAATACAAACAAATCCCACGCTAAATACACATCTGCCATTTTTAATTTTTATTAATGATTACTTTTAATTTAATATTATCTGATTTTAAGTCCATAAAACTTTTTTTTATTTAGGGGCTTACGATCATAACTTTAACATAACTACGAGTAGTCCAGTCAAAATATAATGTCTGAAATCAAAATAGTGACACTCAACTTTGCAATGATACAGTAGTGTAAAGGTTTTCGTGTCCGCAACCCCCGGCAAGGGTTAAAATAATTGTTAAAAGTGTTTTTACGCAATTACTTGAAAACGGTAAAAATCAGACAAAACTGTCTTTAAAAATGTGTAGGACCTAAAATTTTACATAAAAAGGTTTTATGATTTTTTCCTCCGGTCAAAATTGACCGAGTTGAGGAGGTTTCAAGTTTAAGGGATGAACGTAAACTTTAAAAAATCATAGGTAGTAGAAAAATAAGTGATTTTTTTAAGTTGCTTAAAAATTCTAACTTAAAGGTTAGATTTTAAAGTTTAGAAATTAAAATTTTAGTGATACAAATTTTTTATAGTTAAAAAAATACAATAATTTAAAATTTTCAAATTGGAATTTGAATCCTTAAAATTTAATGAATTATTTTTTTGCCATTTTTTAGATTCCTCGTAAAATTTTACGATTGAAAAAAAATTTTCCTTGTATAGAATAGAATAGAATAATTTTTATTCAATATATATTCTAAACGTTTTAAATATAGTAACGGCGGGGCAGAGGGTGCTAAGAATCTCCGGTGGAGATTCGGTTGCCACCTAAGACGACTCGACCTGGCAACATATAACGCACGCAACTTGAGGACTGACGAGAAGATCCTGGAGCTGAAAAAGAGATATACAGGTTGCGCTGGAATATTATAGGATTATTCGAGGTCCGAAGAGAGGGGGAGGACTTGGTAATCCTCAAATCCGGCAACTAGTTTTATCATTATCATTATCATTTGTATATTTGGGATGTTTATTTAGCAGGGATGGTAGATATGATAAGGATATAGAACGACGAGTGAACACAGAAAATAGAGTGAATGGGGCTCTACACGCTATTATGAAGAGTCAGAATGTGTCAAAGAAGGCACGTATGGCAATTCATAATGCTGTGTTAGTCCCTACTTTAATGTATGGTAGTGAAAGTTGGGTCTGGCAGAAGAAGCATGAGAGTAGAATAAATGCTGTAGAAATGCGGTCCTTAAGTAGTATGCTAGGGCTGAATCTAAATGACAGGGTGATAAATAGTGTGATAAGAGACAAGTGTGGTTTGCAAGATGACGTTATGACAAGGATTAAGAAAGGAATGCTTCGGTAGTTTGGTCATGTAGAAAGAATGAACGAGGAAAGAGTGACAAAGCAAATTTATGTTGCAGAAGTGAACGGCAGGGTCGGGAAGGGACGCCCCAGACGAAGGTTTATCGACCAAATCGGCGATACACTAAAAACTAAAAATGTGGAAGTGTCGACGAGGGTTGCGTACCTTATACTTAGAATCACCAAACGGTATTCGCTGAAGGTCATACAGGTTTACGTACCAACCTCGGCACATCGCGATGAGGAGGTGGAGGAAATGTATGAGGATATATCTAGAGCTATGCATTCCTCCAAAACCCACTATACGGTGTTAATGGGAGACTTCAATGCAAAACTAGGCACAAGAGAGAACGATGAGCTGAAGGTAGGGCAATTTGGAATAGGGAAACTGAATCCAAGGGGCCAGCAGCTGGCCGACTTCATGGAGAAAGAGGGACTCTTTATAATGAACTTTTTTTCTAAAAGCGGCTGTACACGCACCTAGCTGTCCCTACTAATGTCTACCATACAGGGGCCCATACAGCTGTTAGGTTCGACGGACAGCTAAGACGGGGCCAAATGGCCATATGGAAAAATGTCCTATCATACTAAACTGTAGGGTGAAGGCTAGAAAGTACCTGTATCCGAATCTCAGACCGCCCCAAAGCTCGGTCAGGCCGTAGGTGGGTGTAAGGTGCATGAAAAGTAGTGTTTAGTGATGTGTATGTGTCTGAGACCTAGCCCAGCTGAGGTGACCGGCAGCGGCCGATTTCCATGCTGCCCCACAATTCTGCATCACTCCAGCAGGCTTCCCCGCTGGACCATTTCTTTCTGCATGTCACTAGTTCAGTCTATTAACTTCATTGTACATTTAACTAACTTAAACTCGCCTAATTCCACATTCATCGTAGAATCGAACACGTGATATCAGACACAGTAACGGACAGTAGTTCAAAGTTCAACATTCAATGTCCCGGATTCACTTATCACCGAATTATAAATAGGGAACTAACGCGATCTCTTCATGAGTCACACGGTTCAGCGTTACAAACACAACTAAGTTCCTTCGTTCGATATTAAACACCACGCCGCAATAAGAATTCAAAATTAACCCAGCTGACACGTAAACTAGCTACCGAATCAACACACAAAAGGCTCTTAATGCGACGGTATAATTAAACGATGATTTCTAAACAATCAACCGGGAGACGCCCTCGATAAATAATTCGCGGTCAAATTACACGTCCCCGAGCAAGTTAGATAATGTAAAATGCACTTCAACGCTCCATCACTATATAATTTGCACAATTACTTTCAAAGACTTTACTTTAATCATTCGAACACAATTCAAGCCTCTTGTCAAGAACTTAAACCCTAGACAACCTAATCCGAGGCGGTTTCCACAAAACCTCAATTCGTAGCGAAGTCACACGCACTAAATCTAGCAATCTATACCGTATACCGGTCGCGCGAAACTTCTGCAGCGATACCCGAGATACGCGGATTAACCATACCGCTGCCAGCGAGCTACTACCGACTTCGCACTCGCGTTTTGCGCCCACGCCCTCTGCCGAGCGACGAACATGGGAGTGGGGCAAGGGTGACCTTTACAAAGTCAGTGGGCGGACACGAGTAGAATGCAAATTTCAAATGTTAATTGTTTGGCCTAAACAGCGGCTCCACTGGAAGTGGACCTGGTCGAGCCCCGACGGTTCGACAAAAAATGAGATTGACCTCGTTATGACGACCAGACGACAACTGTTCAGTGATGTCTCAGTGATCGCAAGGGTGAAAACTGGTAGCGATCACCGAATGGTTAGAGGCACATTGAACCTAAACGTTAAGTTGGAGAGGTCTCGTCTAATGAAGTCAACGCTCCGTCCCCCTCGTGCTATTATCCAGAATCCCGAAACCTTTCAGCTCGAAATAAAAAATCGTTTTAAGTGCCTATAAGATTGCAATGCAGTGGACGACATGAATGACAAGTACGTGGAAACTCGCTCTCTTGAAGAACTATAGACCGATTTCCCTTCTGAGCCGCATCTACGTGCTGTTTTCGGGAGTCATTACGAATCGTCTTGCACGCAGACTTGACGACTTCCAGCTTCCCGAACAAGCCGGTTTCCGAAAAGGCTTTAGCACCATAGACCACATACATACCCTTCGGCAAATTGTACAGAAGTCCGAGGAGTACAATTTGCCAGTATTTCTGGCGTATTTAGACTATAAGAAAGTCTTTGATTCCGTCGAAATTTGTGCGGTACTGCAGTCCCTTCAGCGGTGCCAAGTAGTTGGCCGTTAGTTTGGATATTGCGCAGGCCTTCGATCGGATTTGGCACAAAGCGCTCCTTTCGAAGCTCCCTTCCTATGGGCTTCCCGAGAAATTGTGCAATTGGATCACCAGCTTCCTTGCAGATAGGAGCATCATGGTCGTTGTAGACGGTGCATGCTCCGACTACAAACCGATTAACGCTGGTGTTCCACAAGGCTATGTGCTATCACCAACGTTGTTTCTTATGCATATCAATGATATGTTGCTAACTGATAACATTCATTGCTATGCGAATGACAGCACTGGTGATGCTCTATACACCGGCCGTGCCAATATTTCTTGGGAAAACGTGGCCGAGTACCGGAACAAACTTGTTTCTAAAGTCGAGTCTTTGCTGAACAAAGTCTCGGATTGGGGGCGTCTAAAACTAGTCCAGTTTAATCCTCAGAAGACACAAATTTTCACGTTTACCGCTAAAAAGAACCCCTTTGTCGCATCTCCTCAGTTTCAAGGCACTCCCCTTCTTGCCTCAGTCAGTATCGGAATCCTCGGAGTCGACATATCGAGTGACGTGCAGTTTCGTGGTCACTTGGAAGAGAAGGCCAAATTGGCATCTAAAAATCTTGGCGTGCTCAGCAGAGCGGGACAGTATTTCACGCCGGCACACCGCCTGCAACTTTAGAAGGCGCAGGTTCGGCCTCACATGTAATACTGTTCCCATCTCTGGGCAGGGGCTCCCCAGTGCTAGCTCCATCCACTTGACCGCATCCAGCGCAGAGCGGCTCGAATCGTCGACGACCGTGTCCTTTCCGATTGGCTCGATTCCTTTGCACTGCGAAGAGATGTTGCATCCCTTTGCATTTTCTTTCGTATTTACCACGGGGAGTGCTCTGAGGAATTGTTCGGATTAATCCCAGCCGCCAAATTTCACGAACGCACATCGCGGCATAACTCCCGATACCATCCACACCATCTGGATGATTGGCGGTCCACCACTGTGCGATTTAGAAGATGTTTTCTTCCTCGCACGACTTCCTTGTTGAATCGATTACCATCAGCGACTTCTCCGGACCGATACGACTTAGGGACCTTCAAGAAAAGAGCCTACTCCTTTTTAAAAGGCCGGCAACGCATCTGCAATTCCCCTGGTTACCCTGGTGTTGCAGCTGTTCATGGGCGGTGTTAGTCACTTACCATCAGTTGTGCCTCTCCTATAAAAAAATTAATTACTAATTCTGTGTAGTCTAGTAACTGGTATTACAAGCTTATTTCCTTTATAGGAACATAGCATGCTCCTAGTGTTTAACATATTTAATCTTATCAAAGCTATTTATGTTTTTATGTACATGCATTACATTTTCATACATATTTTGCGATGAAAAAGTTAATATGTTTATTTCTTTATTTTTTTCTTTGTGAGACTCATTACAATTTAACTTATAAACCGCACGTATGCCTTTCTTTTGAAAAAAAAAATATAGCTTCGATGTCAGGCGCATTACCCCATAGCAAAATTCCATAAGACATCACGTTATGAAAGTAACTAATGTTATGTACTAATTTCGATTTATTATTTACATTTTCAATTAATTGACTGTCTTTTGAGTTTGAAAATTAAAGAAGTATCATCAGCAAATAATACTATATCGTGATTATTCCCTACAAAATAAGGTAAGGTTAATACAAGACTTAGAACAGGAATGGGCCAAGAATCGAGTCCTGAGGAACGCCCATTGATATATACTGATATATGCTGATCCGGAGGAGCCTTCATTATTGATAATGACTTTTTCAGTTCTGTTATTTAAATATTAAATAATAAGTCTAAGCGCAATATTTTTGACACCGTAATGTTGTAGTTTCCTGATTAATATCTCATGATGAACACAATCGAAAACCTTGGAAAGATCACAAAAAATACCTTAGGCATCTTGGGAACTCTCCCAGACGTTAAAAATATATTTCATAAGCTCGACACCTGCATCAGTCGTCGAGCGACCCTTTGTAAAACCATACTTTTTTTTAAATACTAGTAATCCTATTAAACATTACTAATATTCCCTTTATGCCGTGTAGTGGCGGTTAAGAATATCCACTACCCCATATCTTCCCGTGGGTATCGTAAAAGGCGACAAAGGGAAACGGGCAGGAGATGGGCAGCAGCATCTTTCTGATAACAACAAACTTGCAATAAAAAACTGCGGTTACCAACCCACTCGCCAAGCGTGGCAACTATGGCAAATACCGAAACGGCCCCCAGTCCCCGGCGGCCCCGCTATTCCTGGCTACGGTGGCGACCATGGTAACGGCGGGGCAGGGGGTGCTAAGAATCTCCGGTGCAGGTTCGGTTGCCACTTAAGAGACCTGGCAACATACAACGCACGCACCCTGAAGACTGACGAGAAGATCGTGGAGCTGGAAGAAGAGATAGACAAGTTACGCTGGCATATTATAGGATTATCCGAAATCCGAAAAGAGGGGGAGGACACGGTAATCCTCGAATCCGGCAACTTGCTCTATCACCGGGGGGGTCACACCTATGCCGGTAGTTGTTGGGAGCACTAAGCTCGTAGTTGTTGACGAGTATGTTTACCTGGGACAAATAGTCCGACTAGGTAAGTCCAACTTCAACCGAGAGGTCAATCGACGGATTCAACTCGGCTGGGCAGCCTTCGGGAAACTACGACACATCTTCTCGTCAGACATACCTCAAAACCTTAAAACGAAATTGTACAAGCAGTGCGTGTTGCCAGTGATGACTTACGGATCTGAGACGTGGTCCTTCACTGCTGGCCGTATAAGGAAGCTCAAGGTCGCGAAGTGTAAGGCAACCCCCCACGAGATGGAGTGACGACCTGGTAAGACATGCAGGAAGTCGATGGATGCAGGTGGCTCAGGACCGTGATTTGTGGCATTCCTTGGGGGAGGCCTATGTTCAGCAGTAGACGTAAGGCTGTAATGATAATGATGAATATTCCCTTTAACCACTTCTGCTAAGCTTAATATACGATATAATATACTTATTTAATAACGAACACTTTACGGACAGTCAAAGTTATTCGCAAACATTACGAAAAATCGTAAAGTTTGCGACAATGTTCGTTACGATACCGATATAAAGCGATAGCTTTGACAGTAGAGACTGCCAAATATCGATTTAAATTGTAATGCGATCGTTATATAATATATGTCGAGACTGCATAGGGTATATATCCTCACGACGAAATTTTCTTAATATCATAATCAGTCCGTAAATTAAATACTGTTTATCAATTTCAGGAAGTTCTTGGCTACCACAGTAGTATGCCTTCAAACAACTCACCGATCGCCTTAATACTAAGACTTATTGGCGCAGTTCGCCCTTCACTAGTGGTGAGACCAGAGTTAGAGGACCGCATGTATCCCCTCTATACGCAGCTCGATAAAATTCTGAAGGAGTTCGGATATTTCTATATTCAGGCAACTAAACCAGATACTGTGGGTAAGTACACAAAAACTTGTGCTGTCTATATTTTTTAATAGAATAAGGTTGTCTGACAAACGAACACACAATCCATTTTATGGTAAGTAGATGCTGTTAGTCTTCCTCGGAATCCTGGGCAAGCTCGTCGTTGTGTACTCGTAGAAAGGGTAGACAATGACTTTCCATGGAAAGTAGCTCAAACCTTGGTCAGAACCACCGATATCTCAGGAGTGCGTGTGCTGAACCTTTGTGATCTGAAACAGATTATAGAAAAAGGCACACTGATTGGTACTCGTGAGAAAGTGGATTGGTTGCGTCGGTGCCAATATCTATCTATTATATAATATGAAGGTACTATTTTGTCAGAAGAAGTAAGATGTTACGGTAGCGTGTTGACTACGCACTCGAGTTGGTCAATTGAGGCCGCGAGATCGAATCTAACCGATCTAATTGATCTAACCAGAGAATAATAACTCACTGGTAATGGACTGTTACACATTATATTTATATGGATAAAGTGTTAGAAAATAAAGTATAGGGCATTGCAATCAATTGTGTGACGGTGGATTAAAATTTAAAAGTACTTTACGAACGGTGCTCGTTATGAAACTTGTAGCAATATTTCGACACGTTTGCCCATTCATCATAATACATCTAATCTTTACTAAATCGACAGACAAGTTGATTTTGTAAAAATTTTTGTTTTCTTTTCTTTTTTTTTCTTTTTCTTATATGATTATAATTGTTATATTAAATGTTTATTTATAAAAAATTCAATAATTAGAAACTAGTGAAAGTCATAAAGGTCAACAAATAAAAGGTAAAAGGTATTTTTTATATTAATATGTAGAACAAGAATTAAGAACTGTGGGTAAACAATGCAATAAATGTAAACAGATTATTAAAGGAAGACAATATCTTAACTGTACTATTTGTAAAGGAATATTTGACCTTAATTGTTCTAAAACACAACAAAGATACTACATAATGACACTTACGCAAAAAAGAAATTGGAAATAGTAACGTCCCAAGCACGTCATATAATAAAGAGACATATACTATTCGTGCTAATGATAATTTCACGAACGTATCAATGGCAAAGAAAACACACAGTTCCTCTTCAAATTCCAAAACTAAAATTCTATTACTTGAAAAATCTACTCCTAAAAGTGAAAGACGAAACTTACTGTTGAATCAATTTACTCCTGAGTCAGTATTCAGGCTAGATTGTCCTAAAATTTGATAGGATAAGAATATAACGTATCTAGTAAAGCACACAAGTAACATACCAACAGAAAATTGTTTTGACTCGCTCTCAGTTGATAACGAAGAGGAGGATACAGTGCTCTCATCTCTCTGTTCAATGTATCTTACACAATACATTGAACAGAAGCTGCCCTGACTTTAGACCGGATGATAAAGAAAAAATACAGAATATCGAGCGTATAATAGGAGAACTAAATGAAAAATTTACATCAGCAAATCAAGAAAATGACAAGGTACTTTTAGAGAACAGTTTATTGAAGAAAACAATAGCTACACAAGAGCAAAAAACTGCGCAACTATTACAAATATGCGGATCAACTGAAAAATAAACACTCGTGAGATTATTAACAGGAAGAATATAGGGTTGTCCTCCACGGATGTACAAAATAAAAAGTCATTAACAGAAAGCTTAGAAATAGAAGAAAATGGAAATGCATCTATTACAAACATTGAACAGGACAAATCACTCAATAATTTATTACATATGCATCAGTTAACCAGCCATATTAAAAATAAACATAAAATTGTAATTTTTAGGGACGAACAACTTTCCGGGCTATCCCTTGCCTTACTTAAAACTAGAGTTGGAAAATGGAACGACAAGAGTAATGTAAGTGCATTCATAATAATTCAAGCACCAAGCTCACAGATTCTGAAATGCCTTGATGACTCGTTCCTTAACAGTCTCACAAAAGAAGACGTGATCTTACTTGTAAATAAGTAAAGGAAATATAAATTCATTCAAGGAATTCATTTCTAATCTTAGCTGGAGTGAGGTATATAGACATAAAACTGACTTGAATACAGCATTCAATAATTTCACGAAGATATATGCTTATATTTTAAACTTTTTCCCAGAGAAAAGGATTAAATTAAAAGTAAATGACGTACGACCAAAATGGATAACAAAAGGCATAGTAATATCTAGTACAAAAAAAAAGAAAACTCAGGTCATTTTACTATAGAGACAAAACCTTGAAAAATAAGCTGATATTAAAAAAATACACTAAATTATTAAGGATATGTGTCAACAAATCAAAGAAAATATACAATAATAGAATAATTACAAACACTAAAAATAAATGCAAGGCAGCCTGGCGTGTAATCAAGGATACGAGTAATACTGATAGAATGAAAAAATATAATGAAATTAATAAGATAATGGTGAATAATAAGAGTATTGATGACCCTTGTAAAATTGCTACAGCCCTCACCAATTATTTTTTAAATTTTAATAATAATCAAAATAATATCGTAGTCCCATTGCGACTTTACGTTAATAATGTATGTAGCAGCTTATTATTATTGCCATGTTCTGAACAAGAAATTATTAATTTAGTTAAATCTTTAAATAACACCAAATCTTTAGGTATTGACTTACTGCCTACATCATTGTTTAAGTCACGTATAGTTCAACTTGCAACTGTTTTGAGCTTCCTCATAAACATTTCTTTTCTTCAAGGAGTATTCCCGGAAGCTCTGAAGTGGTCTATAGTAAAGCCTTGACTTAAGGAAATAGGACTGAAGATATGGACAACTACCGTCCTATAACTCTCGTCCCTTTACTTTCAAAATTTTTTGAAAAGGCAATGATTAAAAGAATTATAGATTGTTTTAATAAACATATTGTAATAGCTGAAGAGCAAAACGGTTTCCAGACGAATAAATCGACAACTTTTGCAGCCTACTCTCTAGTAAAATCAATAACAGAAAACATAGACAAGAAGGTGCCAGTTGTGTCTATACTTTTCGATATGAGCAAGGCTTTTGGTCTTGTAGATCATGAGATACCCTTGACTAAATGTGAAAGATGCGATATAAGAGGGAAGCATGTTTCAGAAATTTGAAATGGTCAATCCACGTCCACATATCATGTAAAAGCTCACTTTTTGGAAAAAAATTTGCTACATGATAACCATTAAAATTTATAACAAAATTACCTCTTATAAATTTATTGTCATTAAAATTATGAATTAATTTAAACTGTAATGTAATTATTAAAATAATAATAGCTTAACCAATCTCATATAATGTTTAATATTAATTATGTAACAATAATGTAATAATTCAATTAATAATTTATGAAAAATGTATTGTATAAGAATTCAAGAATTCTTTGTATTTGAGTGGATCTAATAAGCATTTATTGTACATAATATTTGAATTCATAAAAAATGTTTAGACATAATTTTTAAGAAATGATGAAATAATTTGAAAATGTAAGATTGCCTAAGTGTAATTAGTTGTATCTCATTAATTTTTGCATGCCAACTATGGTAAAACATGTCAGTTCCACATCATTGACCATCTTATGTACCATGTTTTAAGCAAATAAAATTTTCTATCTTTCTATCTATCGACTGGGACCCCCAAACGAGAGTGACCACACTTTTAGAAGACTATCGCAGCGTTCTCTCCCCGAATGAAATGGTCAAGGCGAAGAAACGATCCTGACATAGGAAAGACTGGCTTAGTTCAACAAAATAAACACAGGAGAAGAATTTCCTATCCATCAGCAGCCAAAAAGATTGCCGGTAGTACGTGAAAAGGAAGTGGAAACCATGATTGAGGGAATCGTGAAGGATGGTGTTATTGAACCTTCATCAAATCCATGGTGTTCACCTGTGGTGCTGGTAAAGAAGAAGGACGGCAGCATGCGGTTTTGTTGACTACCGCCGTCTGAACGACATTATGAAGGACAGCTATCCCTTGCCAAGAGTTGATGACACGCTGGACATTCTTACAGGAGTAAAGTGGTTTAACACGCGGGACCTGATAAGTGGGTACTGGCAGGTTGAAATTGACCCTAAGGATAAGGAGGAAACTGCATTCTCGACAGGAAATGGTCTGTGGCAATTTAAAGCTATGCCTTTTGGATTGTGCAATGCTCCAGCAACATTTGAAAGGTTGATAGAGCTTGTACTTACCTGGCTAATTGGCGATGCCTGTCTAGTCTTCTTGGATGACATCATCATCGTAGGCCGTACGTTTGAGAAACACCTTCAAAACCTGGAACCCGTGCTCATGAAGATCCAGAGTGTCAACCTCAAGTTGAGTCCAAAGAAATGTTCACTATTCAAAAGGAAAGTTAGCTTTTTAGGGTATGTAGTCTCAGAAGAAGATATTCGCACGGATCCAGAGAAAATTGCCGCTGTCAAAGATTGGCCGGTTCCAAAAGACAAGGAGCAGGTTAGAACATTTTTCGGTTTGTGCTCCTATTATCGGCGATTTGTGAAGAACTTTGATGATATAGCCAAACCTCTGCACAAGCTAACCGAGGAGAAGCGAAATCTCTGCTGTGATGAAATTTGCGAAATCGCATTTCAAGAGCTCAAGGACCGTCTGTGCAAATCACCTATTTTGGGGTACCCTGATGCGGGCATGGAATTTATAGTTGACACAGACGCAAGTGATATAGGACTTGGCATTGTGTTGTCTCAACGAAATGGTGGTCAAGAGGTTGTGATAGCGTATTTTGGCAAGTCGTTGTCAAAGCCGGAAAGGAACTATTGTGTCACAAGATGGGAATTGCTTGCTGTGGTAAAGTCGTTGCAGCATTTTAGCAAATATTTGCTGGCGCGGAAATTTCACTTACGAATCGACCATGCTGCACTGAAATGGCTATTGCAGTTCAAAAATCCAGAAGGACAAGTTGCGAGATGGATTGAACTATACGACTTTGTGATCGAACATCGCAGCGGGAAATCTCATGGCAACGCAGATGCATTGTCAAGAAGACCTTGTCCTGAAGATTGCAAGCATTGTACTAGGTAAGAGGGTAAGGAAGTGGTATCTGTGAGGATGCTCAGGACTGACCAGCTGCACAATGAGTGGAAGGACAGCCTACAACATGCACAGCAGGAAGATTCGGACATCAAGCCGATTCTGGAATGGATGAAGGCCTGTGCTTTTAAGCCCAAATATAGCGACATCTCAGCGATGAGTTGGAGCACGAAAAGCTATTGGACCCAATGGGATAGCTTGTTGATTCAGGATGGAGTCCTGTACCGTAAATGGGAAAATGATCATGGAGACAGCTGTCATTTGCAAATGGTTGTCCCTAAAGCTAAACTGAAGATCCGAGAACGGTTTTACTGGGTCCCCTGTCGTGACGATGTCGAGGACTGATGTCGCAAATGTACAAATTGTGCGGCTATAAAGGGACTTCAGACTCGTAGCAGAGGTGCATTGAAATTGTACAATGTTGGTGCACCATAGGAGAGGATAGCCCTTGACGTTGTGGGGCCGTTTCCGGAATGTGAAAGTGGTAACAAGTATTTTATGGTTGTGATGGATTATTTATTTATTTATTTAAACTTCATACAATATGATGTATAGGCGGACTTAATGCCTGAGGCATTCTCTACTAGTCAACCTTAACTAAGTGGCCGGAAGTCTTCGCCATTCCAAATCAAGAAACTTCAACAGTTGCAGATAAACTAGTTCATGAAGTCTTCTCTCGTTTTGGGGTAACTTTAAAAATTCACTGCGATCAAGGAAGGAATTTTGATTCTCAAATATTCCAGGAAACTTGCCGAGTTATGTATATATATACTCATATACATACTCATGTGTATATAATTATATACTCATAAAACAAGAACAACTTCTTACCACCCACAATCTGATGGAATGGTAGAACGATTTAATCAGACATTTGAGAGGTACCTAGCAAAAGTTGTAGAAAATAGGCAACGAGACTGGGACAAGCACATACAACCATTTTTGTTGTCATATCGAAGTGCTGTTCACGAAAGTATGTCAGTGACACCAGCTTTTGCAAATTTTGGAAGAGAAATACGGCTGCCTGCAGACCTGATCACCGGAATACCACCTGATTCCCCACGCAGTATAACCGATTATGCAAATGACTTGCGGAACAAAATTAACGACATTTATGAGCTCGTCAGACAATCCGGCCCGCTAATGCCTGAAAAGATGAAAACCCGGTATGATCGCAAAATGAACAACAAAGGGTTCGACGAAGGTTCACTAGTGTGGTTGCACAATCCAGTTCGCAGCAAGGGGAAATTTCCTGAGCTTCAAGCTAAATGCAACGGACCGTACCGGATTATGACAAGTATCAATAACGTAACCTACCGGATACAAAAAGGTGCAAGAGGTACTTCTAAGATCGTCCATGTGATTCGACTGGCGCGTTATTATAGGCCCGATAATGCTCGGGACGAGCATGTCTTAGGAGGGAGCAGTATTGTGCGCCACCATTAATGACTGATGCATGGCGACACTAGTTACTACTAGCGCCTTCTATTATCGAGCAACAGAACTAGGAGAGTCAAGATCCTTATAGAAATTTCCATGGAAGAACTTTCTAGAACTATCGACTCCTAGTCAATCGGGACCGGTATGTACTCAAACATTCTAGATATTTCTACAGTAGAAGATTCTGGAACTATCTGAGGCCCTATATAAGGCCGGTATAGACAGCGACCGGGGTCAATGTTGAGTAAAGCGATCGTTATATAATATACTCGTATGACGAGACGACAGGTATCTTCACGATGAAACTTTCTAAATATCATAATCAGTCCATAAATTAAATACTGTTTATCAATTTCAGGAAGTTCTAGGCTACCACAGTAGTGTGCCTTCAAACACCTCACCGATCGCCTTAATACTAAGACTCATTGGCGCAGTTCGCCCTTCACTAGTGGTGAGGCCAGAGTTAGCGGACCGCATGTACCCCTCTCCACGCAGAATAAATGTACATGTCTATGGGCCACGCTATCCACTTACCATCATGCGGACTGTGTGCTCGATTGTTACCCTCATTTCATATTAAAAAAAATTACTTATAAATACGGAGCCTATAAGTTCCAGGCCAACATGGTTCTTTTAAAGCTGGTGAGAATTAGGAACTCAGAACGTACCTGACTTTTCAGACATAGCACTGACAGATTCACCCGCTGGTCTACTAGCGTACTACTTTGAAAAGATTTCGGTCGCAACCCGGATCTACTACCGTTATATGGCCGATGGGGGACTCAAGAACCATTTCACACGGGAACAGCTGATCGACAACCTCATGATGTACTGGGTGCCCAACTCGATTGCCACAGCCGGCCGGATCTATGCCGAATCAAACAGCTTAAGATATTTTAGTTTGCAGATTTATAGGTAGGTTTTTTAAATTTATTTTTTCTTTTCTTCGTTGTAGGAGTTGGGTCTGGAGGGCATCATTTTTTTATAGAATAAAGGTGACAAGCGAGCACACAGTTTCACCTGATGGTAAATGGATGCAACGGCCTATAGACATCTATATCTATCCTCGATATAGAATGAAAATGCAGATGCGTTGCCATCCCTGAGAACTAAGATGAAATGTGTCATTCCCAGTAAAAAGGGTCTCCAATTCTCTACACACACCCCATAGAAAACACAGCTCTATTCTGCTTTTTAATGCTGGTATTCTCACACAAAGTGTCTTCCCCGGTCGAGCCGACCCATTCGTGCTGCAACCATAATATAGCTGCAACTTGGCTCTAAAACGTTTAAGTTAAAAAATCGGGTTGTGGCTGTGTCGTGAACCCTGGCTGGCCGTGTGTTGTACGTGAATACGAGTATATAACGAAACAACCTCAAAATGGCGGCGATCCCCATCCACCGCGCGCGTTCGTTCACTGTCCTCGCTCAATGTAACGAATTCTTGATACTTTAGCAATAAATATTGGTCAAGCCTCAGCCAACGCGAGCGTAGACAAATTGATACAAGGCGAGTGCTACAGGCTAAACGTTGGTCAAGTTCGAAAGAGACAAATGCCAACTGCCAACGTTCACGAGTTTTTGTGGAGCTATCGACATGTTGGCTGTAATTAGTTTTCATTGAGAATTGGAATGATATGGACGACGTACAACAGTTATTGCAGCTTCTGCTATTTATTTAATGAGTGCATATAATTATTGTCAGTGTACTCCGTAGTAAACTTTTAAAAAAGAAGAGGCAGTGATATTGTCGAAATTATTTTGAAGTTGCAACTTAATTAAAACATAACATCTCACCGGGACAGACGCCAAGCTGTAAGCTGTAACTGACTTGGCCGTCTACATGTGGTCGTGACTTGCTGAGTGCAGACTAGGTAGAGTGCCTTTGATTTGTTTAGAAAAACCGACACTGTTCCGAAGTGGACGAGTCGTAGCGAGCGATCCCGAGTGGCGGCAAGGCACGCCAAACAAACCGTACTCGTATACACGTTGGCGCTCGCCTGCACTCGCAATCGGCCAGCTAGGCGAACCTCGACGAGCAATGGCGAGTAGGCTTGGGCAAAAAACATCGAAATATCGATATTTCCTTGTAAAAATATCGATCGATGTTTTTAATCCCGATATATCGATATTTATTTTAGAATTTCGAATTCGTATCAATTTCGATATTATTTCAAAATGTTGTATTAATAGGTAAAACTTGAAATAACAAAGGGAGCTACAAAAGCATTCATGTGTGGTTGTCGTTTTTGTTTTCGTCCTCCAACCATCAGTAATATTAAATTTTGGGCCTTATCCGTATATAATGCAAATGATGCCGATATATCGATATTAAGCTAGCAAATATATATTGGCACTGTTTAAAAATGTCGATAAGAAGCAAGGGAAAAAATATTTCGATATATATCGATATCGAAATATTTTTTCCCTTGCTCATCCCTAATGGCGAGGCTAGACAAATGGACTGTATATACGTTGGTGCTCGCCTTCACTCGGCCAATATGTATAGCCAGCTATATATGTAGCTGCAACACCAAACTGTATCCCCCGATTTGGTTAACATCAGTTATCTGAATTGCCTCAGACTGTAAAAGAAAATTAAACGTACACACGTCAAAAATGTATTTTTCTAACTGTCTACCACTCATTTATGTCTTGATAATAATTTTTATTTACATGCTTAACCTAGCTTTGCGTAGTGTATATTTTCTTTCACCTAGCTGCTTATTATAAAGAAATAGTATCCTACACGTATTCAAGTTATGCAGGGGCCGGAGGACGTTTTAAAAATACTAATTTTATTAATTAAAAGATGTTTAATCGCTACAAGAACTCGCTTAAGACTAACTTAATATTCTATGCTTAAAAACTAATGCACGAGAGCCCACACAGGAGCTCGGCAGTTTCCGTTTTTCCGCTCAGCACATACCAGTGGTCTACAATCAGAATATTGTGCTGATGCGGACATCTTGGTGGGTCTCGCCACCCGTAACACCTTCCTCCTCAAGTTTGAAGTTCTAGTTTACAGGAGAACTTCGGATACAAAAATGAAACAAGTTTAAATTATACTTATGAACTAAGACACAGGTTACAATAATGAATAATAGTCCATACAATAAAATGGTCCCTAGGCTAACACTTTTAATCACCACAATCGCCTTTTCAATTTCACTGTTTTTAATTTCACTTTTTCTTAATGCAACTGACAGAAGTTTGAGGTCCGTAAGATCTATACCTTCTAGATTCAGCTCCACTGGGGATGACATCTCGAGGAATGCGTTTATTGCAGGTAGGTTAATCATAGGTAATATAGGGGGTGAGATGCTTTCAATTTCCACAGGGTTACTTGTTAGGTTAATCTAATCAATTTTGGGGGTAGTGACAATCAGCTTTATAAGAAATTTTCATATTTTATTATATACAATATTAAAAACTATAAGTAATAAAAAAACTAAAACTAATAACTTAATTATCATATAGTCCCACTTCTCGTGGTATCTTGCCAAGAACGCTGGCTGCGTTTCCTCGCTGAATGGCTATACATAGCCTTTGAGCGAGAAAAGAACAAGCCCTCTTATCACCGGCAGCAACGACCAGCCGTTTAAATTTTCATTAAAACACAAAATATTTATTTTCAGCATCCCATCAGAGGTGCCAACTTGGATAATGCAAGCTAAATATGAAATCTCTTACATTCCGCCCTGGATGTACCAACTTAAGTACCCTAATCTCCTCAATGAGACAGTATTGGATACTGGCGGCCACTTCCTGGCCCTCGAGCTACCTCATGTACTAGCAGAGGACATTTTGCAAGCTATGATCGAATTTCAACGTTGGCATGAACAACATAAGGTTCATATTGAGTTGTAATGTTTAATTAGTATGTAATAAAATTGATTCATGAATAAATAAACGATATGGTATTAGTGGTTGTTATTATTATTGTTCTAGTGTAAAAAAATTTTTTTTATAGAATAGGGTGACAAACGAACACACATTCCACCTGATGGTAAGTGAATGCTGTGACCCACATAGACATCTACATTTATGCTCAATTAAGAATCGAAATGCAGATGTGTTGTCTGAGGACTAAAATGGAATGCCTCATTTCCAGTAAAAGGGGTGTCCGGTTTTCCACACTCAACATACGAAACACGGCAACATTAAGCTACTTTTTTACGCTGGTATTCTGTGAGAGCGTGGTCTTACCCTGGTCGAGCTGACTGATTCGTGCTGTAACTATAATATAGCTGCAGCGTGGCTCTACTACGATTAGAAATGTAATTACCATTTCCATTATAATTACAGTCTATTAAAGTCCACTGCTGAAAATAGATCTCCCCATGGATTGCCTCATAGGTGCGAGTTTGTCATAGTTGACACGCTTGGCAGGCGGGTTGCCTGGTTTTAACGTGGCAAAGTCACTATTACGGTTGTAGCACAAATGAATCAGCTCGATCGCGACCACTCTCTCAAAGAATACCAGCGCAAAATAGCAGCTTAATACTGCTGAGTTTCGTATGGAGAGTGTGGAGAACCGGAGACTATTTCTACAAGGCATCCCATCTTAGTCCTCAAGGATTTTGATTCCTAATTCAAGATAGATGTAGATGTTTATGGCCCACAAGCATCCACCCTTATGATGTGTGTGATAAAAACTAATAGTGAGTTAACTCGGCGACTAGATGGAACAACCGGGATGAAGGAGAGCACAACGTCCAACTATAGGCCTATCGCCATCACCTCCTTGTTCTCCAAAATAATGGAATCCATTATTAACTGTCAGATCATGCGGTACCTTGAAGATAACCAGCTGATTAGTGACCGCCAATACGGTTTTCGTCGGGGCCGATCAGCTGGTGATCTTCTTGTTTACCTAACACATTTATGGGCGCAGGCGATCGAATCCAAGGGGGAGGCATTGGCCGTTAGTTTGGACACAGCGTAGGCCTTCAAATGGGTCCGGCACAAAGCGCTTCTTTCGAAGCTTCCTTCCTATGGGCTTCCCGAGAAATTGTGCGATTGGATCACCAGTTTTCTGGCTGATCGGAGCATCAAGGTCATAGTAGACGGTACATGCCCCGATTACAAGCATATTAACGCTCGTGTTCTACAAGGCTGCGTCCTATCACCAGTGCTGTTTCATCTGCATATCAATGATATGTTGCATACCGGTAATATTCATTGCTATGCGGATGACAGCACTGGTGATGCTCTAAACACCGGCCGTGACAATATTTCTCGGGAAAACGTCGCCGAGTACCGGAACAAACTTGTGTCTGAAGTCGAGTCTTTGCTGAACAAAGTCTCGGATTGGGGGCGACTAAATCTAGTCCAGTTTAATCCTCAGAAGACACAAGTTTGCGCGTTTACCGCTAAAAAGAACCCCTTTGTCGTATCTCCTCAGTTTCAAGGCACTCCCCTTCTTGCCTCAGCCAGTATCGGAATCCTCGGAATCGACATATCGAGTGACGTGCAGTTTCGTGGTCACTTGGAAGAGAAGGCCAAATTGGCCTCTAAAAAGCTTGGCGTGCTCAGCAGAGCGGGACAGTATTTCATGCTGGCACACCACCTGCAACTTTATAAGGCGCAGGTTCGGCCTCACATGGAATACTGTTCCCATTTCTGGGCAGGGGCTCCCCAGTGTCAGCTCCTTCCACTTGACCGCATCCAGCGCAGAGCGGCTCGAATCGTCGACGACCGAGTCCTTTCCGATCGGCTCGATTCATTGGCACTACGAAAAGATGTTGCATCGCTTTGCATTTTCTTTCGCATCTACCACGGGGAGTGCTCTGAGGAATTGTTCGGATTAATCCCAGCCGCCAAATTTCACGAACGCACATCGCGGCAGAACTCCCGATACCATCCACACCATCTGGATGATTGGTGGTCCACCATTGTGCGGTTTAGAAGATGTTTTCTTCCTCGCACGACTTCCTTGTGGAATCGATTACCATTAGCGATTTTTCCGGACCGATACGACTTAGGGACCTTCAAGAAAAGAGCCTACACCTTTTTAAAAGGCCGGCAACGCATCTGCAATGCCCTCCCTAGAGTTGCAGTTGTTCATGGGCGGTGGTAGTCACTTACCATCAGGTGAGCCGCATGCTCGTTTGCCCCCTCTCCTATAAAAAAAACATCCCCTCCCTACCCAGGACGACTGCGTTAGTACCGGTCGGCTTCGCTTGTGTACCGGTACACATGTTTAAGAATGTCACGTACACGAAATCAGTTTCACGCATTTTGTATTCACCCAGCGATATTACTTGGTATTATTTTTATTGTTTAATAATTATAACTTATTTGAAAATAATGGGAAAATATTGTATGACGCCTTAAGTAAAATTGAATTCTTACAACAGATGTGGTACTGGTTTTTAATTGAATTATATGTAAGGATGAGATTTCATTATTTCATTAAATTCAACAAAAGAACTATTTAAAAAAAAAAACAGTATAAATGACACAGTAAATATTTGTCCGTTGCGCATTGTAACGAAGCGGCGTGCGTTGAATAAACAGAACAGAACCAACGTATAACTTTAACCTGTTTTATTTATTCTCTTCAACCCCCTACCCAATATTTAAGCGGAATAACTGAGATACTGCTATATAGGTAAAATATAGTAAAATGATGTAGGTACCTACCTGCACAAGCATAAGTCTTTGTTTCCATCACGACAAATCAGATGAAGCTGCCGGACGCAACTAGTTTTCTACCGACTTCAAAAAGGAGGCACTCAATTCGACTGTATGTTTTTTTATGTGTGTTACCTCATAACTTTTTTCTGAGTGAACAGACTTCGATGATTCTTTTTTTTATTTGAAAGCTGGTGCTTTTTATGTGATGCCATATAAATCTCATCAAGGTCTGACCAATAGTTTTTGAGTTATTCTTAATATGTATTGAAGTCGGTTGTATAAAATGTTTTAATTTTAAATTATGTTAAGAAATTTTTATCTAAGGAAATGTTTTTGTGACAACCCTTGCATATTTTTAACGACAACAGCCTTGTAGGTATTTACGGTATAACAAAGGAATTGACTCACTATTAGTATTTACTACGCATATGCTAATTATTCGTACCAATCTCACCTGAATGCGTGATTCGGTGTGCTAACAGATGTAGTTCAGGCGATCGATTAATGGCGGAAAGAGATAAATACGAAAAGCCCATCTTTTCTTCTGTTTTCTTTTCTTCACAAAAAATACTTGTAGGCTCTACAAGTAATTGCGTGCAGGATTTGAACGCGCGGCCGCCATACACTTCCCTTATCAGCACGAGACTGCCCCTCGAGAACCTTCTGTCGCTTGTGAATACTTCGTTCTATGGAATTATTCTTCAAAATGTTCATATTTGTTTGAAAATATAATACAATAAAGAAAATTTCCCACACTTGTACAATCATTGCGTGTTACCAGTGACGACATGTGGATTTGAGAGGTGGTTCTTCAATGCTGGCCATATGACGGAAATCAAGGTCGCGTGACAAATTTCGTTAGAAGTATATCCGCAGTAGGAGCTAGAGTAGCAAACATAGCACAGAAGATAAGTAAATTGAAGTGGCAATGGGCCCGCCATATAGCTCGAAGAATCGACCGAGTAGTAATCGTAGTGGTGGGGTGGATCTCCAGCAGGTGGAGTGACCTGTTAAGAGATGGTAAGTTCACGGATGCAGGTGGCTATAAGAACCATGTGTGTGACATTCTTTAGAGGAGGCCTGTGTTCAGCCGTAAACTTGTGAAGGGATGTAATGATGTTGATTATGAATTTCCCACGAGTGCCCTTTTGAAATGTACTCCTGATTATAATGTGTGTACATCCCTCGATGACGCTCCAGTAGATGCATTGTAAAATTAAATATCACGCCGTCGCCCATAAGTCGTTGCAACGCAATGGTATGGGGTCGAGGCGTGTGTGCGAGTTGCATTAACAGATTTTATACTAACCTATACAGATTGAAACTATAAACCAATTTATTTTACTTATTATAAGCCTATATAAGTGCATATATTTTTATAGAAGGGTGACAAACAAGCACACAGCCCACCTGATGGTAAATGGTTGTTGTGACCCATAGACATCTACATTTATCCTCAATAAAGAATTAAAATGCAGATGCGTCGTCGCCCGTGAGGACCAAGATGGAATGCCTCTTTTCCAGTAAAATGGGTCTCCGGTTCTCTACACTCACCATACGAAACACAGCAGTGTCAAACTGCCTTTTTACGCTGGTATTCTGTGAGAGCGTGGTCCTTCCCTGGTCGAGCCGACCCATGCAGGCTTCGACTATACTATTAATATGGCTGCAGCATGGCTCTACCACGTATAATAGTATATAAGTGCTTAACTACAATCCCACCTGGTGGTAAGTGGTGATGCAGCCCTAGTTGGTGAATCGCACTGTCTTAGCGTAACAAAAGCCTATTCACTCTTGCCTTGAAGACGCCCAGATTGTACTCAGATGGATAGACAGACGCTGGCGGATTATTTCACTCCTTTGCTGTACAAATTAATGCGTACGCATACTGTTTGGTTCTAATGCGCAAAATATCGACAACAATGGAGTGCAGACCCACCGACCATCTGGTTCTGCAATGGTGGAAAGGGGAGGGAAAAATTAAAACATGCAAGCAAGCAAGTTAAAATAAAACACGATAAAATCCAAAATAAAACGTTCTATTAAAAATTAACAAATTTAATTCTTAAAGCTTAACACATCATAACTCATTCTTCACCGCGTTCTTCTTATTCCACTTCCGGAACTCCCGAATCGCGTTCAAAACATCTTCAGAGAATACCTCCGGTAGCTCTAAAGATACAAAATGGCCGCCATTATCGAGTACTGTCACGTTTAATATGTTAGGAAACTTAAATCTTGTAACTAAAGGGGACTGGTAGAGAATTTCATACTTAGATTGCAGAAGCCATGTCGGTGTTTGAACTGGTATTCTGAAATTAAAAATAGAAACGGATTAATTAATTGAAGCCGTTGTATCTCAGACGCTCACTGTAGACCGTTGTATCTCAGGGGCTAGACCAAACGTTCGCTGTAAATTTCACAGTACGCGAGCAACCCGGATTCGATCCAAGCCGGTACTAATGAAATTATTTATTTTACTTTAATATAATTAATAGAATCAGGCGTTACTTTGCGGAAATCCATTATATAAAAGCTTTTACAAAAATTTACTTTGCAAATATCCGCGTTATAAAATAAAATGATGTGTCTTACCTAGTATGAAGAAGCACCTCCCGCCCTCCCTCAATTGCGTGCGCTATCCCCGTCACCACTAATCCCAGCACCGCTACTTCCAACACCACTACACTAGGCAAGACACACCACTGACGATAATACGACACGTGTTTCGCCTCTACACGAGGCATCCTCAGGTGATATAGACTCTACGGTGACGGGGATAGTGCACGCAATTGAGGGAGGGCGGGAGGTGCTTCTTCATACTAGGTAAGACACATCATTTTATTTTATAACGCGGATATTTGCAAAGTAAATTTTTGTAACAGCTTTTATATTTTACTTTAATTATGTTTTAATTTCTTATTCATTCTTCTTGCTCACAAAACTTCAGGCATTCCGACAATTCACCCATAACAGGTCGCTCTCAGGATTTGTGTCCAAGAGAGCGTTAAGTGCGGTGAGGACCCGGGGAACAGGCGAGATGATTAATTAGTGTGCTCATGGCTGGGCAAAAAGTTTATGTTTACGAATACGACAGTAGTTATTTGGTACAAAAAGTCAACACATATCAGCACCCATGTGCGTCCTTCCGCGAATTATTTTACACGCTTGTTGATACACTCGCCGTGTTTGCAAATATTTTTTTTGTTTTTTTATAGGATGAGGGTGACAAACGAGCACACAGTCCACCTGATGGTATGTTATTGCTGCGACCCATAGACATCTACATCTATCCTTTATTACAAATCAAAATGCAGATGCGTTGTCACCCGTGAGGACTAAGATGGAATGCCTCATTTCCAGTAAAAAGGGCCTCCGGCCACCTGCACTCAGCAAGCGAAACGCAGAGGTAAACCTCTACTTCACGCTGGTATTCTGTGAGGTCGTGGTACCACCCCGGTTCGAGCCGGCCCATCCGTACGACAGCAAAAGCCGCCGCGTGGCTCTACCACTGTTAAAATATTTGTAACTCAAAGAACCGAGGAGAAATTTAGTGGGATATAAAAATATGGACAGTATCCATAAAGGCGCTTGTTTTCCAATTTTCAAGGTTGATTTACCATTGTGGTGAACGAAAACATCGTTAGGAAACCTGCATCTCTGAAAAATGGAAAGAAATATTTCGAAGACATGTGAAGACTCTACACTTCCTTTTCCTGAAACCCTCTCAGAAATGAGACCAGGCCTGTACCGAGGAGTGCACCATATATAGGCTGTATACTTTACTTTAAATACAAGCGTTAATTTGTATAAATAAAAATTTTCAATCCTTTCAAAACTTTTAAAAGGATTGAAAATCATCACACACACAGTTAGTCTAAAACAGTCTAAATACGCTACACAGTAGACGTCACTAACTATGAAAATGGCGAAATATCCGTTACCTTCGCAATCGTGTGCGCACTGCGCAATTGATCGCACGAATGTGTGGGAGAGTACGAAGGATCGAGGTTCGCGCACTTTGATGTCCGTTAAAAAGCCGAAATAGCTTGGAAAACCGCGAATTCATTCATAGTTCGTGACGTCTACTGTTTAGCGTACTTAAAATAAAGGCCTGTTTTCACTTTGATTAGTGCGAGTGCTGGTGATTAGTGTATGTAGTGTCCAATTCTGTTTAGTGGCTGTGTTTAGTAAATTCAGTTGTTAGCAGTCGACCAGGAAGTATGGACATTTTTTTAACAGAAGCGAGCGTCCAACGCTAGACGCTAAACACTAAGCACTGCTGTCCAAACGTGTTTAGTGGCAGGCATGCTGCGAGTGAGGGGAAAGGAAGGGCGCGCGGGGCGTGACACTCGCAGTCCACTCGCAAAAAAATAGAACACGCTTCTAATCACTTTACTACACAGTTTATTAATCACTTGCACTAATCAATAGCTGTCCACACGTGTTTACTCCTATACACTAAGCACCTGCACTAATCACTAATCAAAGTGAAAAGAGGCCATAACTGCGTGTCCGCGCGTGTAAATAACAGCGTAAGTAGATTGTGTTCCATTAAAAAAAATACTTACTCGTCTAATCTCAAATTAAAATGGGTTTTATTGCAACTCTCTGCGTATAACCTAATAGCTGTATTAATGGAGTTAGGTGTCCAGTACAACATGATATTGTCGATTAGTTGTTCTTTTGTAAAATGAAGACTGAGTCCTCCGTCCGGTCGTGACACTTCGCTCCTACACGTCCAAGTTGAGAATATCTGAAGGATATATACTAGGAGGCCGCATGGGGAATCACTGAGGGCTTTACCTGGAAAATAATTTAAAATTAAAAAAGTTGTACTACCGACATTAAATTATTCAAATGATTCAAAACTTTTATTTGCATCAAACATGGTAAATACAGGTGTCAATATAAATTATTAAAAATAAGTCAGACCTTGATCATTTTTATACCTCAAAAGGAAAAAACGGAACCCTTATAGGATCACTTCCCTTTTTCTCAGGAATGCGTGGAGGTATCAAGCTGAAATTCATATCAAATACTCAAGTCTACTGTCCCTTAGAGCTGTGAAAAATCAAACTTCTAAGCCAACGCAATCAAAAGATACAGCCGTTTATGTCGTAAATTTTCGACATTCGCAAGGGAAACAAAACCTACAGGGTACTTCCCGTGAACTCAGAATCTTGAAATTTGATACGAAGCAACTTTTTATAGCACAGATAAAGGAAAAATTGCGAAAAGCAATTTTTCCTTTATCTGTGCTTTTTCCTTTTTTTTAGTTACATCATATAATAAAAATATATTTAATAATTTTAAACTTATATACCTACAGATTTGTTCGGAAACCTCGGTGTGCGAGTCCGACTCGCACTTTGCCGGTTTTTTTTTATATGGGACCACATGGGAAGTAACAGATTTCGCATAAAAAAGAATCATCGAAATCGGTCCACCCAGAAAAATTTATGAGGTAACACACAAAAAAATATACAGACGAATTGAGTACCTCCTCCTTTTTGAAGTTGGTAGAAAAGAGATTTTTAAAGCAAGTATCAAACACTTGATGCGGCATTTAGTGTTAACAACATGTGATAACGAAGGTCCCGTTTAAGTTTTTAATACGGAAAGATTGATTCTACTCGTATATATATATATATATATATATATATATATATATATATATATATATATATATATATATTCTATAAATAATTTTAATTAAATTTTTTTTACAACCGACTTCAATATAAATTATTAAGAATAACTCAAAAATTATTCATATGATCTTGATCAAATTCATATGGGACCACATGTGAAGCACCGGCTTCCAAATAAAAAAAGAATCATCGAAATCGGTTCACCCAGTAAAAAGTTATGAGGTAATACACATAAAAAACATACAGTCGAATTGAGTACCGTCTCCTTTTTGAAGTCGGTAGAAAAATAGTGCCTGTTAGGGCTACGTTGCAGCTATATCATGTTAGCAGGATGAACGAGTTGGCTCGATTTTGGAAGGAATGGTCCTTCTGAGTACTTCTTTATAGAATGAGTGTGCAAACGAGCACACAGTTCACCTGATGGTAAGTGAATGCTGTGGTCTATAGACATCTACTCCTATCCTCGATTAAAAATCAAAATGCACATGCGTTGTTACCCCTGAGGACTAAGGAGTGCCTCGTTTCCAATAAAAATGGACTGCGGTTCCCTACACTCACCATACAAAACACAGCAGCGTTAAGCTGCTATTTTACGCTGGTATACTGTGAGAGCGTGGTCCATCTCTGGTCGAGCCCAGCCCATTCGTGCTACAAACATAAAATAATTGGAGAACACGCACGTAAAAAGCTGCTGTATTTCGTATGGTGAGTCTAGAGAACCGGAGACCCTTTTTACTGGAGACGAAGCATTCCATCTTAGTCCTCAAATTAATGAAAAAATATAGGAATGAGTGTTAGATAGGAGTGGTTTACAACAGTAGTCGAATGACGGATTCGAACCTATGACCTTTTAACTTCGTAGTCGCTATTCTTAACTATTAGGCTAGCCTTGCTAAGTCAGTGCGATTTACTATCTAAGGCTACATCACCACTTACCACCAGGTGGGATTGCGGTCAAGCACGTAAAAAAGTAAAAAAAAAACCTCGCTTTCTATGAAAAAGGGATTGTACTCCTATAAAATATTACCAAAAAAGAAGCTATCAATAAATCAATCACTTTATCGAAGAGTACTGGATTTTTTTACATGTAAAATATAATCTATAACCAAAAAAACTGAAAAATAACACTATTTAAAAAAATCTTACCTATGGTGTCAGGTTTTGTGGCCTGCAAAAGAAAGTAGCCCAGTTCTTCCGTTAACATGGAGTAAAACTCTGTCCAGGGGTACATCCTCTCCACTTCTTGCGGGTTGAAGAACAGCGGGGGGTAAATCGAAGCAATTAGAGGGAGCAAGAAAGTAGACGGTGCCCAAGAGAGAGGTAGATTTGTATGGTAGCCTAGGACATCCTGCATAAAGTCAATTTTTTTATTGAAAATTGTTTTTCTCAAAGTACAACAGTGTCAGTGGTAGAACCACGCTGTAGCATGGATGGACCGGCTCGAACCGGGGCAGTACCACGACCTAGAAGCTTTGCTTCTGAGTTTCGCTTGGTTAGTGCACATTGGCAGAGTTGGTGAGAAATTAGTTCGCCTTCCTTCGGGAACCCGTGCATTCTAGTCTCTCGCTAAGGCTGTTCAAGAGAATTTCTGTAAGCCATCACTACCATCTCTGCACAGGAAGGACGACTCACTGGCCCACGCCGCAAAAGAGAAAGCCGACCTTTTAGGCTCCCATTTTGCGTCCAACTTGACTCTCGATGACGGGGGGAACACACCGCCGACCATCCCGCAGTGTGATTGCTCTATGCCTGATGTGCGATTGATACAGTCCTCAGTACGCAAAGCACTCCTCTCCCTGGGCATACACAAGTCCAGTGGGCCTGACGGAATCCCGCCAATTGTGAGGACGTGCGTTTCAGAATTAGCACCTGTTCTTACGCGTCTTTTCCGGTACTCCTACTCCCTGGGCCTTGTCCCTAATTCGTAGAAGACAACTTTCGTGCACCCGATACCTAAAAAAGGTAACCGCTCTGATCCGTCAAACTAAAGGCCTATCGCCATCACCTCCTTGTTCTCGAAAATAATGGAGTCCATTATTAACTGCCAGCTCATGCGGTATCTTGAGGTGCAACAGCTACTAGATTAGTGACCGCCAGTACGGTTTCCGTCGGGATCGCTCAGCTGGTGATCTTCTTGTTTACCTAACACATGGATGGGCGGAGGCAGTAGAGTCCAAGGGGGAGGCATTGGCCGTTAGTTTGGACATAGCGATTCGATCGGGTCTGGCACAAAGCGCTTCTTTCAAAGCTTCCTTCCTATGGGCTTCCCGAGAAATTGTGCAATTGGATCATCAGATTTCTGCCTGATCGGAGAATCAAGGTCGTAGTAGACGGTACATGCTCCGATTACAAGCATTTAGTTTTTTTTAGAAACGTTACCAGGATTTTCTCCTCTATCGTGGGGGCAGTTTACATACATAAATTACACAAGAACAAACATCCAGACCCGGTACAATTATTTGTAGGCCATACAAATACTTGTTCCGTGCGGGATTCGAACCCGCGGCCCTTAGCTCAGCAACTCATTGCTAAATCACTACGCCACGGAGCCGTCGTATTAAAAGCATATTAACGCTGGTGTTCTACAATGCTGCGTGTTATCACCAACGCTGTTTCTTCTGCATATCAATGATTTGTTGCAAACCGGTAATATTCAGTGCTATGCGGATGACAGCACTGGTGATGCTCTATACACTGGCCCTGCCAATATTTCTCAAGAAAACGTCGCCGAGTACCGGAACAAACTTGTGTCTGAAGTCGAATCTTTGCTGAACAAAGTCTCGGATTGGGAGCGACTAAATCTAGTCCAGTTTAATAAAGAACCCCTTTGTCGTATCTCTTCAGTTTCAAGGCATTCTCTTTGCTGCCTCAGCTAGCATCGGAATCCTCATCGTCGACATATCGAATAGTGTGCAGTTGGAAAGTCACTTGGAAGGGAAGGCTAAATTGGCCCCTAAAAAGCTTGGCTTGCTCAGCAGAGCTAGACAGTATTTCATGCCAGCGAAGTTGCAAGCAATATGCTTGCAACTTTACAAAGCGCAAGTTTGGCCTCACATGAAATACTATTCTCATCTGTGGGCCGGGGTACCCCAGTGCCAGCTCCTTCCTCTTGACCGCATCCAGCCCAAAGCGGTTCGAATCGGCGGTCCACCACTGTACGAGTTAGCAGAAGTGTTCTTCCTCGCACAACTTCCTTGTGGGATCTATTACCAACATCGATTTTTCCGAATCGACACAAATTTTAACAGTGGTAGAGCCACGCGGCAGCTTTTGCTGTCGCACGGATGGGCCGGCTCGAACCGGGATGGTACCACGATCTCACAGAAAACCAGCGTGAAGTAGAGGTTTACCTCTGCGTTTCGCTTGGTGAGTGCGGGTGGCGGGAGGCCTTTTTTACTGGAAATGAGGCATTCCATCTTAGTCCTCACGGGTGACAACGCATCTACATTTTGATTTGTAATAGAGGATAGATGTAGATGTCATGGGCCGCAGCAGCCACTTGCCATCGGGTGGACTGTGTGCTCGTTTGTTACCCTTATCCTATAAAAAAAAACTTAGGGGCCTTCAAGAAAAGAGCCTACTCCTTTTTAAAAGGCCGGCAACGCACCTGCAATTCTCCTGGTGTTGCAGTTGTTCATGGGCGGCGGTAGTCACTTACCATCAGGTGAGCCGCATGCTCGTTTGTCCCTCTCCTATAAAAAAAAGTTTTGGAAAATCAAATGCTGCACCATTTTCGGAGGGGAGTAGCCATACTGTTTTTCTCGATACAGACCAGTCTGTCCTTTTTGCGGGGGAAAATCTGTGCACACATAAACAATCGTCCGTCACTACAAAACTCACACATAACAATAAACTAACAATTTCACACACACATAGATATATTTTAATCATTGAGTTATACAAGACAATGTATTTTAATGGTATCGTTAAGTGACAGCGACAACTCGGATCAGTCGCTCGACCGATCTGCATTTTTTGTGAGGGCAAGCGGCTTGTGTTGGTAAGCAAATCCTTAGCAATACGACCGTTATTATTGTAATTTTTAAGTTTGAAAAGAAGTTAACAGTAACAATATGTATCTAATAATAAAAGTTAACAGTAAATTACTTATATATTATGAAATGTAACGCCATATTTGTATAAATTTAACGTGGCAGATCTCTTTTTGCCGCAAAAAAACGGAACAATGCGGCATTTTGTAGGACGTCGATTCAGTCGCGCAATTAGATTTAGTCTAGTGAGCAGTGCGGCTGCAACTAGTTTTATTATACGTATACGGAGTTACAGAGGGGAACGCCTGCGTATGGCTACTCCCCTCCGGTCCGCCGCGACGGTAGCCCGTGTTGCTCTATGGAATCTAATATTTAATTTACTATAAACTCTCCTGTAAAGTTGTATTTTAATACATTTTCAAAATGTCCACCACGGCTCCGAGGCGCAGTGATTTAACAATTGAGTTGCAGCGCTAAGAACCGCGGGTTCAAATCCCGCACGGAACAATATTTGTATGGCCTACAAATAACTGTTCCGGGTCTGGTTGTTTGTCCTTGTGCAATTTATGTTTATAAACTGCTCCCACAATACAAGAGAAAATCCTAGTGTGGAGGTTACGTTATAAAAAAGAAAGAAAATAATTTAGAAAGCAATTCAGTGTAATTTTTCACTATTCTAAAAGCGTTCACTCATAGAATTAGGTACTATTTTTAGGTACTCGGCACTTCTTGTCTCACTAAAATAAACTAATGATTTAATACGTCCCCATAAAAAAGTCAAGAGGCGTCAAATCAGCTGATCTGGGATGTCTATTTATAAGGCACTCCAAACTCTGTAGTTGTAAAGACTGTAACATACTTGAAATAGGTTCAATTTTCTTTATTTTTTCAGTTTCATTCAAAACAAACTGAAAAAATAAAGATTGTATTGTGGGGGCGGTATATATATATATAAAAAAAATTACGTGTCACATTGTTTGTCCGCGATGAACTCCTAAACTACTAAACTGCTGAAACTACGAATTTTCGCACACTGTATGCAGCTTAGTCCATTGAGAGATAGGATAGTTTTTATCCCTATAAGTTACCCTCAATATTTTTTATTACGAATTTAAGAATTTTTATAGCACACAGGGTCGTCGGAGATGGCAGAACAACGTCTGCCTGGCTAGCTAGTATAAGTATATATATATATCTTTTTCAATATCACTAACCTCAGGGAATATCGTAGCCAGGTGTGCTCCGATAATAGATCCCCAATCACCGCCTTGCACGTAGAACTTCTCGAAGCCGAGCCTTCTCATCAAATTCCTCATCACAACTGCCATTTGCGCGGTTCCCATGCCCGGGCGAACTGCTGCCTTAAAATATTAAATTGTCATCAGTTCTATGTGATAGAGCCACGCTGCATTTGTATTATGGGCGTGTGGCTACCTCGTTGGTCTAGTGGTCGTGAGCTCCACTGCTGATCATGTGATCCTGAGTTCGAATATGGAGTCGGTCTAAGATTGGTTATGACTATACTAGAATTATTTTGTCCATGCAGTTTGGGTCATAAATCCGTCCGTCTGTCTGTCTCTTTGTTCCGGCTAATCTCCGAAACGGCTGGACCGATTTTGACGGGAGTTTCACCGGGATAAAGCTGATGTTACAAGGAGTAACTTAGAATACTTTTATTTTAGAAAAAGAATCAGGGTTCCGCGCAAAAAAATTATAACACTTAAAATCGTAGTAAATTCTACGCGGGCGTAGCCGCGAGGGACAGCTAGTTAAAAATAAATTAGGATTTTGCTTACTTTTCTACCGACTTCAAAAAGGAGACCTCATAACTTTTTTCTGGGCGAACTGATTTCGATGATTCTTTTTTATTTGAAAGTTGGTGCTTCTCATGTGGTTTTTGAGTTATTCTTAATAATTTTTATTGAAGTCAGTTGTAAAAAAAAAATTAAATTGTAGAAAAGCGGTTTAATAGATATCTCGATCTACGCCATCATCCAACGTTGTTATACAAGAATACATTGAAAGCGGCCAAGTGCTAGTCGGACTCGCCCATGAAGGGTTCCGTAGCAGGAAGTAACATTATTTACTTAGGCAACTTTTACAGATTTATTATTAGAAAATAATGGTTCACGGTTTATGCACAAGGGTTATGTCTATGTTAATTAAAAGCTTTTTTTTAATGTATTTGAGTTGATTGAATGAAAGGTAAACTGCGGTTTACGATTTATGACGTACTAAAAAAAAGTATTTACTAGATCTTGTTCAAACCAATTTTCGGTGGAAGTTTACATGGTAATGAACATTTTTTTTAGTTTTATCATTCTCTTATTTTAGAAGTTACACACATTTTACCACTTTGGAAGTGTCTCTCGCGCAAACTATTCAGTTTAGAAAAAAAATGATATCAGAAACCTTAATATCATTTTTGAAGACTTATCCATAAATATCATACATCAGTTCTAAGTATGGGGAACCCCCAAAATTTATTGTTCTTTTTCTATTTCTGTGTGAAAATCTTAATGCGGTTCACAGAACACATCTACTTACCAAGTTTCAACAGCACAGTTCTTATAATTTCGAAAAAAATTGGCTGTGACATACGGACGGACAAACAGACAGACATGACGAATCCATAAGGGTTCCGTTTCTTGCCATTTGGCTACGGAACCCTAATAAGGGTATTTTATCCTTTGTTTCTGATAACAATTGTATTCAGCCTCGTTTTTATTTGCCACATCAGCCTGTATAACGTATTTTTTTTTATTTATTTATTCATACAAAGGTAAATACATTATTTTTACTATTCTCTCGCCAAACTGCAATCAGTTTGTCGGCGAGTACACGCTCTTAAAACTATATATTATTATGCACCGTCACCTATACGAAAACAATTAATTACAAAAAACAAACACAAAATAAAAGATAATTATATCATCATGTATGATAAAGGTACAACAAAGCTGCGCATTGTACTAGACGCTAGTGCTAAGTCGGATAACGATATTTCTTTGAATGGAATTTTGCACCCAGGACAGAATTTACAAACTGACATTTTTAACATTTTATTAAACAAAAGCTTTGGGAAAAATTTACTTCGCATATATCCGCGTTATAAAATAAAATGATGTGTCTTACCTAGTATGAAGAGCACCTCCCGCCCTCCCTCTATTGCGTGCACTATCCCCGTCACCACTAATCCCAGCACCGCTACTCCCAACACCACTACACTAGGCAAGACACACCACTGACGATAATACGACACGTTAGGCTAGCACGGCTATTAATTATATTTTATTAAACGTTAGAGTTTACCGCATCGCCTTCTTTACAGATGTTAGGCAAATGTACTTAAATATTAAAGTCCAAAATTTTCATCGCGCTGTTCAAAACATTTTATATCGGTTTTCTACCGAAGAATCGATACGAACATATGAATTTAATCGCGTCACATTCGGATTACGCTCTTCTACCCCCAGTGTTATCATAGTTAACGAATGCAAACTTCAATTTTTAAATATTAATCTTTGATCCAATCTACGCCGAACGAGCTTACAGTATCTCGAACTCTTGGAGTAGTACGCTTGAACTTGGATTTAATTTTATTTATTACTAGCTGTTCCCCGCGACTTCGCCGGCGTGTATTTTTGGGTTTTAATTTTGTTGCGCGGAACCCTAATTATTTTTCTAAAATATAAGTAGCCTAAGTTACTCCTTATAACATGAGCTATCTTGTAGTGAAAGTCCAGTCAAAATCAGTCCAGCCGTTTCGGAGATTAGCCGGAACAAACAGACAGACAGACAAAAAAAATTAAAAATTATGTTTTTGTTATAAGTACCGTATATACTTTCATATGCAATTAGTAAAAAGCTTTGACATTACCAACAGACACTTCAATTTTATTTATTTGTATAGATGGGATCCCAAGAGGATGATAACCATCATTTCTATTGTAATTAGGATGTTTTACGATCCATAAAAACCGGCGTAAAAGAATATATAGCTGATCTGAACACCGATGCTCCGGGAAATCTGCAGTATATCAACATATCCAAGATCGTCACAATAACGTCCCTCACAAGACCACTAAAGCCTCCCAAAGATGATAAGCGAGGCTATTAAAATTAAAAAAAACTCCCTAATTTCAAACGAGAAGATAGATGGGTGCTACCATCGTCATACCAATGATTTCTCCAAATTTCAATAGACATAATGATTAAGAGCTGGTGTCTCTCTCAGCTGCATAGATAGGTCGTTCTGACACAGCAAAATTATATTCATTTAATACTAGCTGATACCCGCGCCTTCGTCCGCGTTAATTGATATATAAGGAAAACCCACATCACTGAACACGTAGTGCTTATAAAAATCGTTGTTTCTTAAAAGTTTAATAATTTTATATTAAATGAAGATATCGCAATATTTTTTTAGATAAGGGCCAAGTGTCAAAGAAATAAAACTCAGAAAACTTGATTGAAACCTATCCAGCAGTGTTTCCGTGATACGCGCACATCAGCAAACCTGTAACATTTTATTTATACAGATTATTTATCTACTAGCGATCTGCCCCGGCCTCGCACAGGTAATTTCTGGATCTGAATCTAAACCACTGTCAAATCAACTTAATCACACACACGAAATTTCATTGAAATCGGTTCAGCCGTTTAGGCGGAGTTCAGTCACATACATACGGACGGAAGATTTAAATATATAAAGATTGTACTTGCATAACATCATTCACTTGCACTCTGTGCGTACCTAAAACTTTTAGGTATTTTACTTAAAATTTTACCCCCTTTTTGTATTTTCTAATAGATCGATTTTGTTTTGACGTAAAGTTTGTGTGATCTAATACATATTAATTTCTATATGCGAATACCTTTTAACGCCTATGTAGATTTAAAATTTTATAATATGTGAAATGTATAAAAGCTGTTGGTGTTCCGAATAAAATAAATAAAAAAAAACTTACGTCTGAAAATCCAAATCCGACCAAGCTAGGAGCAATGACCTCAATAGCAAAATCCCTCGCATCACTGACTGATGTGAGATGAGGTATTGCTTCGTAAAACTCCCGTACGGAGCCCGGCCAGCCGTGGAGAATTAATAATGGTACTGTTTCAACGCTTTGAGGAACCTGACGGAAATATGTTGTAACATTGTACATTTCTATATATCTGAACAACCTATAAATATGGGAAAAGATTCTTTTTTCAGCCATTACAAAGATTTTAATAAAGATAGTGCTCAATAGGGTTTTTTTTTAATAATAATTCCTGACAATTTAATCGCGTTTTTTGAATGAATTACTTAAGCAAATATTTCGCGAATATTTTGACATCGAAAGAAACATTTTAAATATTGTTAGTATAAAATAATAAAACGTGTGCATGAGTTTATATTTGTTATGAAATGCGAGTGTTTTCTTTCGAAAAAAAAAACTTTACATTAAATTTAGAATTTACCATTTAATTAAAAATCACAACAAATTTTTAACGAACAATAATTATAAAACTAAAATATTTAGAATACGTAGTTTGAAAAAAAAAATTACATATTAAGTATCTATTATAATATGATAAACGTTTTGTTTTTTTTAATTTTATTCTCCTGTACCAACCCTACTAAAATAGGTAAAAATTTTGACAGCTCCTTAGAAGCTTTGCCTCTGTATAGTGCCACCAACTTATCTGTGAACTGACAGCTTGGCGCTTCTGCGCTGAAGTGTTGCGAATTCGGGAATATTCCCATCTAAGAGTCTTATATTCCTACATAGAGTCCACATACTAGGGTAATAAATTAGTCACGGAATAAAAAGACTAGAACACAGATTTAACAGATAATATGTCCAAGAACAAGAAGAAACAATAATATCATAATTGAACAATTTAAACTTTAATTAAATAATATGCCTTTATGCCTTTTTACTGGGCGTTGTAATTTGCGTTCCTGTGGTTTATGCGGTTTCCGGTTCTTTAACTATTTTGGAAATGAATCCTTGACTAACATCTGAAAAAGAAATGAATTGCATTAACCAATCCATTTATCGGAAATACGAAAGGAAGGAACAAAACATAGCAATACTGACCTGTAGCAGCTGATACTCTTTTATAGACCTGATTGAAAGGCATTATCGGTGCTTCTTGCTCACAAAAGTTTAATACTTATAAAATAATATTTCGGGCATCGCTTTTAATGGTTTTCGGCATTTTTTATTTTTCTATAAACTCTCAAAACAATGACGTATCGAGTGACATTTGATTAAATGGCGGCTGTAGTTCACAATTTTGCCGCTGCTGTCAGTTCACAGATAAGTTGGTGGGACTATACAGTTTCTTTACTCATGTGACTATACATAACTTTTATTTTTATTTTTATATTTATACAACTCTGTGTAAAAAGTATCGGGAATATGTCAATAAAAAGACTCGCGTAAAAGAGGTCGTTCTAATTTTTTTACTGCATGTTGGTAGCACTGTACTGATTTAGCGCGCAAAGTTTGAGCGGGATCTGTCATTTAATTTGTTTTAAACTACACTTTTTGTTGGTCATAGTTTTGAGTTCTCGGCGATTTTTACAATGGAAAATATTGTTGAACAAAGAGTGTGCCTTAAATTTTGTGTTTCGAATGATATTTCATGTGATGAATCACTAAAAATGTTGTGAAATACCTACGGCGAATCGTGTATATCGAAAACAAGGGTTTATGAATGGTATAAGGCTTTTAAAGAAGGCCGAGAAGTAGTAGTAGACTTGCCTCGTTCTGGTAGACCTTCAACCGCTACGACCAAAGAAAACATCGACAAAATCAAGAAGCTAGTGCTCGAAAATCAACGTATGAGTCTGAGAGAGTTGGCTAGTGAGGTGAACATATCTTTTAAGTCCGTCCACAACATTCTCATTGACATTTTAGGCATGAAACGCGTCGCCGCTCGACTAGTTCCAAAAGAGCTCAATTTTGTTCAAAGAGCGCAGCGAAAGCATGTCGCTGAAGACATGGTTTCCCGAGCTTCTACGGATCCGACCTTTATGAAACGTATAATAACTGGCGACGAGACATGGGTTTATGAGTACGACATGCAAACAAGCCAACAGTCTTCAGAATGGCGTCTCGAAAACGAGCCGAAACTCAAAAAACCGCGGCAAAGTCGCTCCAAAATCAAGGTGATGCTGACAGTTTTTTTTTGACTACCGTGGTGTGGTTCACTCCGAATTCCTTTCAAAGGGAGAAACAGTGAATAAAGAATATTATTTAGGCGTCATGAAGCGTTTGCGTGAGAGTATCCGCCGAAAACGTCCAGATTTGTGGCAACACAACTCATGGATGCTGGATCATGATAATGCACCATCACACACAGCCATTATAGTGAAAGAGTTTTTAGCGAAAAATTCAATAAAAGTTCTCGACCAAGCACCGTATTCACCTGATATGGCTCCGTCTGACTTTTTTTTATTTCGCAAGTTAAAATTACCACTTCGAGGAAAACGTTTTGAGTCGATAGAAGCCATAAAAAAAATTCGCTGAATGAGCTAAAGGCCATACCGCAAATAGCCTATGAAAAATGTATGGAAGACTGGGTGAAGCGTTGGAGATGGAGATGTTGTATTGCAAGCGATGGGGCCTACTTTGAAGGCGATAAAATAAATTTAGATGAATAATTTATATTATTTGTTTTATTGACAAATTCCCGATATTTAGTACACAGAATGTAAACTTTATTGTACTAACCACGAAGGTTACAAAGGGCGGACTTAATGCCAGTTAGCATTCTCTGCCAGTCAACCCGTGGCGTCGTGAGAAATTAGTGGCAGGTGAATTAAATAACTAACTATAATAAATTCATATAGATATTACACATATTGGTATATGGTTTGTAAATTACACAAATACATATGAATATAAACAAATACATAACAATCCTTACTTGAAGACATTAGGAAAGCACCAAATAAGATAACCTTCAAAAGATTGGTTCGGGAACATAGTATATTTCAAAAACAACGTCGTCAGTATAATGTCAATTTCGTACTGCTACCTTCATCTAGATACATATAGTATGTATGTATATGTGTGATTAGCTGTATGTATGATTTATGCTATATATATGATTAGCATAGTTATATGATTAGCTGATTAGTTAATAAATATATAAATCTACCATTATTATCAATAATAGATTTAATATAAGATAATAGTTTATAGTTAACAGACCACAGCAACTAAACCGTGTGTGGTTTCTGCTGTAGGGTTAAAAAAAATTCATTTTGTTTTTATTTTTATATTTAAAATAAATGAAAAATAAATGTATTTATATATACATATATTATATATGTATACGTATTATGGATAATTGTTATGTAAGGAGTCCCAGAGTACTTAAACGGATTGATAATGAAAAATAAGAACATACCTTAGGTTTTACTCTGATGAAGTGGATGTCCAGGCCTTGTATATTCGTTTTGTACTGAGGAAACTGATTCAAGTATTTCTCCCGCTCACTGAACGGGTACTCCTCAGCCCAGTAACGTATCCAACCCTCGATCTGTCCACTGTTAAAGCCGTATTCAAATCCAACGCCTTCTAAAGGTGGTGGGGAGGGTCTATGATTTTTGAGACGCTTTCTAAGATCTTCTATCATCTATGAGATAAAAATGTTTGTAATAGATTTTTGACATAATAATACAACAAAATAAAACTATCCATAAATTAACTTTTTGCTTCTTTTTATTTCCTTTTTAGAGTTCCGTACCCGAATGGTAACCATCGGGACTATATTGTTAAGCCTTCGCTGTCCGTCCGTCCGTCCATCCATCTGTGTGTCAGTGGGCTATATCTTATGATCCGTAATAGGTAGACAGTTGAAATGTTCATAGAATGTGTATTTCTTTTGCCGCTATAACAGCAAATAATAATAATAAAATTAAATTAAAAAAAAAGGGGTCTCCCTCCTAGAAACGTGTTTTACGATGGTACGGTTTCCTTCATGCGCGAGTCCGACTCGCACTTTTTTAGCCGGTTTTTTAAATTGTTAAGAGAGCCTTTTCTTTTTCTCTTTGTCTGTCTCTTGTTATATTATTTGTTCTCTAAGTGTACTATAAAGGTAAAAGGTATAGTATTATAAAACACAACTGTTCAAGTTTATACATATTTTTCTACTGACTTCAAACACGAGGAGTTCGATATGTTTCTTTATGTGTGTTACCTCATAACTTTTTTCTGGGTAAACCGATGTCGATAACTCTTTTTTATTTGAAAACTGGTGTTTTACACATGGTCCCATATAAATTTGATCAAGGTATGACCAATAATTTTTAAGTTATTCTTAATAATTTATATTGAAGTCGGTTGTACAAAATTTTTAATTTTTAATTATTTTAATAAACCTGGTACTTAGTTTTTAAAACGGACTAAAAAGTATAAAATCCCTTTTGTTTTTTTTTTCATATTCTAACATTGTCGTCGGATTTTGAGCTATTTTCAAAATTTCAAGTCTAGCTCATCGGGAGGTTAGTTTTAAATATATTACTGGACTCAACCCGAACACACGTACACTTTATAATTTCAAGTCTCTTGTTTATTCATCATTACAGCCCTTCACAAGTCCACTGCTGAACATAGGCCTCCCCCAAAGAATGCCACAAAGCACGGTCCTGAGCCACCTGCATCCATCGACTTCCTGCATATCTTACCAGGTCGTCACTCCATCTAGTGGGGGCACGCCCTACACTTCGCCTGCCGGTACGAGGCTGCCACTCGAGAACCTTTCTTCCCCATCGGTTGTCGGTTCTTCGAGCTATATGGCCAGCCCATTGCCACTTCAGCTTACTAATCCGTTGGGCTATGTCGGTCACTCTGGTTCTACTGCGGATATCCTCATTTCTGAGTTTATCACGCAGAGAAACTCCGAGCATAGCCCTCTCCATAGCTCGCTGAGCGACCTTGAGCTTCCTCATCCGGCCAGCAGTAAAGGACCACGTGTCAGTTCCGTGTGTCATCACTGGCAACACGCACTGGGTGTACAGTCTCGTTTTCAAGTTTTGAGGTATACCTGACGAGAAGATGTGCCGTAATTTCCCGAACGCTGCCCAACCGAGTTCAATCCGTCGATTGACCTCTCGGTCGAAGTTGGACTTACCTAGTCGGACTATTTGTCCCAGGTAAACATACTCGTCAACAACTTCGAGCTTAGTGCTCCCAACAACTACCGGCATAGGTGTGACATGGACATTAAACATGATTAATTATAGTATAAGACTGAAATTAAAATTCGACAAAATTCAATCGATCATTTCGATGTGCATTTTAAATATAAATCACGCAAAGTAGAATTGAATTTTATACTTTATTTTACAATTTCAAATGTATTTGTGTTGTATTTTTTCTGATACTTAATAAGATAACATTTCCTCGATTCCGAACACTAAGTTCCCAACAACTACCGGCATAGGTGTGACATGGACATTAAACATGATCTTTGTTTTGTCCATGTTCATCTTAAGACCTATCCGTTGGGAAACACTATTGAGGTCAATGAGCATAGTGCTTAGGTCCTCCACCGATTCTGCCATAAGGACTATATCGTCGGCAAATCGAAGGTGAGTGATGTACTCGCCATTGATGTTGATACCGTATCCTTTCCAGCCCAGAAGCTTGAAAACATCTTCCAATGCAGCGGTAAAGAGTTTCGGGGATATGACGTCACCCTGTCTTACACCTCTCTGCAATTGGATAGGTTTCGTACTCTGGTTCTGTACTCGGATAGCCATCGTAGCCCTACTGTACAAGCACTTCAACACTTCGATATACCGACAGTCAACTTGGCATCGCTGAAGGGACTGCAGCACCGCCCAAATTTCGACGGAATCAAAGGCTTTCTCATAGTCCACATACGCCAGACATAGTGGCAAATTGTACTCCTCGGACTTCTGTACAATTTGCCGAAGGGTATGTATGTGGTCTAAGGTGCTAAAGCCTTTTCGGAAACCGGCTTGTTCGGGAGGCTGGAAGTCGTCAAGTCTGCGCGCGAGACGATTCGTAATGACTCTCGAAAACAGCACGTAGACGCGGCTCAGAAGGGAAATCGGCCTGTAGTTCTTCAAGAGAGCGTTGTTGCCTTTCTTGAAGAATAAGACCACCGCACTTCTGCTCCACGCCTCCGGTGTAATGCCACCATGGAGGACAGAATTAAAGAGCTTCTGAAGGACTTCAAGTACCGGTTTTCCACCCGCTTTCAGAAGCTCCGCTGTAATTCCATCCTCGCCTGGGGCCTTGCCGTTTTTAAGGTGCTGGAGAACCATTCTAATCTCGCTCAGACTGACGTCCGGGATATCATCGGAATAATAACGGATAAGACTCGCTCTTGGATCATTACTCACACTTGCGTGCGGCTCCAACGATGACGTGTACAGCTGCTCATAGAACCTCTCAATCTCACTCAAAATCTCAGGTGCCCCGGAAACGATGCTGCCACATTCGGTCTTCAGCTTTGACAGTTGGCTCTTTCTGGCAGACAGATCTCTGGCAAAGACTTTGGAGCCTTGGTTCCGCTCGGTCGCTTCTTCAATACGAGCTGTATTGAAGTTGCGTAGGTCCCGCCGCATGCATTTGGAGATCTGTCTGTTCAGTTGCCTGTATGCTGTCAAATCTGTTGAAGAATCTAGCTTCATCTCCCGTCTAACAGCCATGAGATTAAGAGTGTGATCGCAGAGTTTTTGTGTTCTTCTGCGGCGGGTCTTGCAGAACTTAGCTCCGACCGCATGGACAGTTTCCACGAGCTTGTCATTCAAATCGTCCACTTCATTGCAGCTTTCTAGGCACTGAAAACGGTTTTGTAACTCGAGCTGAAAGGTTTCGTGACTTTGGATTAGAGCACGAGGGGGACGGAGCGTTGACCTCATTAGACGAGACCTCTCCAACTTAACGTTTAGGTTCAGTGTGCCTCTAACCATTCGGTGATCGCTGCCGGTTTTCACCCTCGCGATTACTGAGACATCACTGAACAGTTGTCGTCTGGTCGTCATAATGAAGTCAATCTCATTTTTTGTCGAACCGTCGGGGCTCGACCAGGTCCACTTCCTGTGGGGCCGCTTCTGAAAGAAAGAGTTCATCATAAAGAGTCCCTCTTTCTCCATGAAGTTGGCCAGCTGCTGGCCCCTTGGGTTCCGTTGCTCTATTCCAAATTTCCCCACTTTCAGCTCACCGTTCTCTCTTGTGCCTAGTTTTGCATTGAAGTCTCCCATTAACACCGTATATTGGGTTTTGGAGGAATGCATGGCTCTAGAGATATCCTCATACATTTCCTCCACCTCCTGATCGGGGTGTGCCGAGGTTGGTGCGTAAACCTGTATGACCTTCAGCGAATACCGTTTGGTGATTCTGAGTATAAGGTACGCAACCCTCGTCGACACACTCTCAATCTTTACAACGTTGTTAACGAGAGACTTCTGGACGATAAATCCGACACCTCCTTGGGACAGATGGTCGCCCTCCCGGTAATAGAGCAAGTTGCCGGATTCGAGGATTACCGTGTCCTCCCCCTCTCTTCGGACTTCGGATAATCCTATAATATGCCAGCGTAACTTGTCTATCTCTTCTTCCAGCTCCACAATCTTCTCGTCAGTCCTCAGGGTGAGTGCGTTGTATGTTGCCAGGTCGAGTCGTCATAGGTGGCAACCGAACCTCCACCGGAGATTCTTAGCACCCCCTGCCCCGCCGTTACCATGGTCGCCACTGTAGCCAGGAATAGCGGGGCCGCCGGGGACTGGGGGCCGTCTCTTCGTAACTTTCATCATGGGGGGTATATTGCCACAGTTGCCACGCTTGGAGAGCGGGTTGGCAACCGCAGTTTTTTATTGTATTTTTGTCGTTACCAGGAAGATGCTGCTGCCCATCTCCTGCCTGTATCCCTTTGTCGCCTTTTACGACACCCACGGGAAGATATGGAGTAGTGGATATTCTTAACCGCCACTACACGGCAATTGCTTATTGGAAAGTTTAAAATCAATTACTAAATTCGATTCGAACAGACATACACGAAAATGAGGTAATAAGAACGTGTTAAAAATTGTCTACTAGTGAGCTTACACTCTTGTTGAAGTGATGGCTTAGTTATTTTGACTTTAAAAAAGCAGCCCAAGTGCGAGTCGGACTCGCACATGAAGGGTTCCTTACCATCGTAATACACGATTCCAGTAAAGAAGCCCCCTTCAATTTTTAATTTGTGTTAATTGTTATTATTTGTTGTTATAGCGGCAACAGGAATACATATTCTATAAAAAAATTAACTGTCTACCTATTACGGAACATATGAGATACATGAGATACAGCACGCTGACAGACAGACGGACTTACAGCGGAGGCTTTGTAATAGGGTCCCGTTGGTGACCCTTTGGATAAAGAAAATAGTGCTTTGTAAAGGCCAATTTTGTAATGAATATCTTTTGACCTTGAATATCGAGCAAAAAGCAATTTAAGCTAAACTTAAATTAGTTCAGACCTCGATGCTGGAGTAAATAATTCGAGTTGAGGTGACGGAATCTACCACTCCATTTAGTCACGTGTCTGGGTGGTAATGTTAGGACATAACATGTGACACTGTCCTTGGTAATAATTGCGAAAGTTTTGACATGCTCGATAATCGCCAACCATCGTCAATTTTGTTATGTAACATACATGATTGCAAGCTGTTATTTTTAAAAAAAGTACCGCTGGGTTTCTTGCTCTTTCTTCTCAGGACAGAGATTTTTTCCAAACCAGTGGAAATTAAACAAAAGAATGACTTTCAATAAGTATTATTTTTAATCTATATTGAATGAAATGGTTTCTGTTTCTGTTTCAAAGGAACTAATGCACCTGATTGTAATCGGATGCTGACGCCCATAGAGCTCATATATATCATCGACCAAAAATCTGAATGCAGATGCGTAGTCACCCCTGAGAACTAAAATACAATTATGGTATACCTTACCAGTAAAAGGGATCATTCTGGAAATTCGAAGTCAGTTTATCAGCCTTATATAAAAAAAAACCATAGACAAAACTATTATACTAAAATTTATTGACCTACTAGCTGTTCCCCGCGACTTCGCACACGTGTAATTTAGGCTTTTGGTTTTTTACGCGGAACCCTAATTCTTTCTCTAAAATAAAGGTAGCCTAATTTACTCCTTACAACATCAGTTATCTGCCAGTGAAAGTCCCAAAAAAAATATTTTAAAAAGGTACTTCGCAAACATCCGCTCTATAAAATAAAATGATGTGTCTTACCTAGTATGAAGAGCACCTCCCGCACTCCCTCGATTGCGTGCACTATCCCCGTCACCGCTAAGCCCAGCACCACTACTCCCAACACCACTACACCAATAAAGACACACCACTGACGATAATACGACATGTTTTTCGCCTCTACACAAGGCATCCTCAGGTGTAGTGTCTACATTTGAGGGAGGGCGGGAGGTGCTCTTCATACTAGGCAAGACACATCATTTTATTTTATAGAGCGGATGTTTGCGAAGTAACTTTTTAAAAGCTTTTATATAATGGATTTCCGCAAAGTAAAGCCTGATTCTATTAATTATAGTGAAAGTCCTGTCAAAATCGGTCTAGCTATTTCGGAGATTAGCCGCAACAAACAGACATTTTTTATAAAAATTGTGTTTTTGTTATAAGTACCGTATATACTTTCATATGCATTAAGTTAAAAGTTGTTATTTTGAAAATACAAACAGACACTTTAATTTTATTTGTTTGTATGGATTATTTTATTTTTAACTATGATAAGCCAGTGCTTGACTAGTATCCTATCGGTAAGTGGTGATACAGTCAAAGATGGTAAAGTGCACTGACTTATTTCAATTAAAGCCTATTCACTCTTGCCTTGACGATACCCACATTGTAATACGGAAAGATAGATGTTGACAATTTAGTCCACTTCTTTGCTGTATCAATTATGACCGACGAAGCAAACAGTTTTGTTCGAATGCGTGGAATGTCGACAAAAAAGAGATGAAGACCAAGATACGTACCACTTTCGAAAAGTTCACTGTAAATGGTCTTATGCTGATGTCCTGTTTCGTCTTCATCGCTTCCGGTCCCCACCATTCGTTTACATCGAACTTGGGCAACGGCGGAGGACTTTTCAAATATAAATAATAGACTGGAATTGCCACTAGGGTGATCACCACCAGGATTAGAAAACGGCTCATCTGGAAAAGTTATTTTTTAACCGGTTTAAGTGTATTATGTTTTTGTATGTATAAAAAATGAAAAATGTTTATTTATGGCTAAAGGTGGTACAGATTATAATATTAAAAATAGAAAAGAAATATTTTATTTCCTTAACATTGATTGGTAACAGTACTATGCCGTGGCCAGATCAGCCATAACCACCTAGGAAGCATATAAAAATGCTTGTATTGATTGGCTTTGCTTGTCCTATGGATTTATAATTAAATGTTAAATGAGGGTATATGTGTGTAAAGTACGTATGTGTGAAGTGTGTGTATAGTGTAACGGGTGTATTCATAATCATTTTTAAACAGTTCATTAGTTAAAAAGTGTTTTGTCTCATTCTGACATTTGCGAGATATGTACTTGTTGCTAGAAAGTGACAAAACACTTTTTAACTAATGAACTGTTTAAAAATGATTATGAATACACCCGTTAGTCTAGTGTGTATGTTTAATGTGTGTATAGAGTGTGAGGAGGGTGTGTGAATGAATATAATGTATGGTTTATGTGTGGGTATGAGTTTTTTTTCAGTCGATAGAAATTATGACGAATTATTTTTATTATATTGTAACAAGGTATCCCTACGATATCAAATCTTGGGTTCGGTTGATAGCAACTAGAGATGTTTAATATGTAATATTAGTACGTGTTAAGGCATGAAATATTATTGTATTTATACATTTACTTTATTCACATTATACATGTTTAGCTCTATGCTATGGGATCGCTAGAGGTATAATTATAAAAGGTTTGTGAAGGCAATGTATAGAAAACGTGTAGGTAAAAGCTTTTTGCGTGTTAATTTAGTTTATGACATATAATCTTTATAACTATGCAACAATCTAGTCACAGTCACAGCAACCACTTACCATCAGGTAGATTATATGCTCGTTTGTCACCCTATCCTATAAACAAATAAGGAAAAAATGTCATCACAACCAAAACATGTCCACTGCTGAACATAGGCCTCCCCCAAGAAATGCCACAAAGCACGGTCCTGAGCCACCAGCGTTCATTGACATTCTGCCTTTAATATGCTTACTTTCTATAATAAATACTTCTAGATGTCTGTCGCATGAAAGAAATTATCATACTTTTTGATATCCCTTTTGCCATAGAACGGGTATGCACAAAATAGTAAACAAAAACAGCTTAGTGGGCATTTGATTTTTTAAACACTTAAAAGGACAAAGGTCACATCAACATAACGAAAATTCACTTCACAAAATATCTAAATTCTTTAGGAAAATGAGTGTATGTAAAGAAAAACACTACAATCATAACACTTACATCGTAATCCGGCCTTGACTGAGACCTAATATCGCACGAGTTGTCTCAAAGTCGGACACTGAGGTACTACGGAAGTACGGAACATCCAGTTCGAGATAAATAAGAGGCCAATGACTCGACAGAACGGTTCAACGTTCCACATGACCACATGACACCAGCTCTCCGTTTATATGTATACGGACTCCGTATACATTAATATTTTAATTCAAATATTCTATACGTTTTACATTGGTGTATATGTATGATGTTTTTATACAAGTTAAAAAAAAACGAGATGGATCATAGCCGTCGTGAATGTTTTTTTTTTAAGTTCACCGATTTTTCTACCGACTTCAAAAAGGCGACGGTACTCAATTCGACTGTTTTTTTTTATGTGTGTTACCTCATAACTTTTTACTGGGTGAACCGATTTCGATGATTCTTGATGATTTGAAAGCTGTTGCTTCACATGTGGTCTCATATAAATTTGATCAAGGTCTGACCAATCAATTTTGAGTTATTTTTAATAATTTATGTTGAAGTCGGTTGTACAAAATTTTTAATTTTTAATTATTAGAAACGGCTGAACCTTTAGCTGAAGATTTAGAGAAAACTTTCAGTCCTTAAGGGTGGGAAAAATAGGGGATTAAATATTTTAAGGTACCTATTTGATGCTGTATTTCGTATCGTGAGTGTAGAGAACCGGAAACCCTTTTTATAGGAAACGAGGCATTCCGTCTTAGTCCTCACGGGTGACAACGCATCTGCCATTTCATTCATACGAGGTCAGATAGGCCAAAGCATTCGCTTGCCATCTGGTGGAATAGGTGCTCGTTCATCCTTATTCTATAAAAAATGCAAAGAAAAAAGCAAAAATTAAAAACAAATATTAATATACTTTTTTATCGTCTATTGTCACAACCAAAGCACGTGTCCCAACGCCGTTCTGCTTAATGCCGCCTCACACCCGCTAGCGGGCCCATAAATATTTTATTAGTGGTGATTTAACTGGGGTGGATTAGCCATCATAAGGCCGCTGATTTGTAAGTAATGTGCGAAAACTACAATCTGATATGACTTCAATATAAGGGTGATCATAGCGATATTAAAGTAAATAATATCAGAGTTACAAGTAGGAATGCCAGATCGGAAGACCAGCACAAGAGAGAACGGTGAGCTGAAAGTGGGGCCGTTTGGAATAGGGCAACGGAACCCAAGGGGCCAGCAGCTGGCCGACTTCATCGAGAAAGAGGGACTCTTTATGATGAACTTTTTCTTCCAGAAGCGGCCCCCACATCTCAAAACTTGAAAAAGAGACTGTACAACCAGTACGTGTTGCCAGTGATGACCTATGGAACTGAGACGTAGTCCTTCACTGCTGGCCGGATGATGAATCTCAAAGCAGCTCTCAAAGTCTCTATATAGGAGCACTAAGCTCGAAGTTGTTGACGAGTATGTTTACCAGGGACAAATAGTCCGACTAGGTAAGTCCAACTTCGACCGAGAGGTCAATCGACGGATTCAACTCGGCTGGGCAGCGTTCGGGAAACTACTACACATCTTCTCGTCAAACATACCTCAAAACCTTAAAACGAAATTGTACAACCAGTGCGTGTTGCCAGTGATGACTTACGGATCTGAGACGTGGTCCTTCACTGCTGGCCGTATGAGGAAGCTCAAGGTCGCTCAGCGAGCTATGGAGAGGGCTATGCTCGGAGTTTCTCTGTTTGATAAACTTAGAAATGATGATATCCACAGTAGAACCAGAGTGACCGACATAGCCCAACGGATTAGTAAGCTGAAGTGGCAATGGGGCTGCCATATAGCTCGGAGAACCGACAACCGATGGGGAAAAAGGTTCTCGAGTGGCGGCCTCCGGCGGACGAAGTGTAGGGCGTCACCCCACTAGATGGAGTGACGACCTGGTAAGACATGCAGGAAGTCGATGGATGCAGGTGGCACAGAACCATGCTTTGTGACATTCCTTAGGGGAGGCCTATTATGAAACACGATAAAATCCTTAAAATTAATTTTATTGAACAGTTACAGTTTTTTTAGGTTAAAGTTGTCGTTAGTAAAACGTCGTTATGATTACACCAGCACCACCTATAATACAGATAAAGCATCCATCAGCATAAATACATAAACGCTGAGTATGTAGTAATTTAAGTAGACTGTAGCGTTAGGATTAAGGATTGTAAAATACAATGGACAGAATAAATTCACATCTCTCTCTGTGAACACGTAGTTTGTATTTAGTATTAAGTCGTAGTTTGTATTTAGTTTTAAAAAAGCTCTCAGCAGCTCCCGCAACTTGACTACGTTGCTGCCCTATATCTGGTCAGACCGGTAGAAATTATAGTTTTGTTTTCAATCACAACAAATATGTTATTAAAATGTTTAAATGGGGTGTACTTTTTGCCACCCTTCGCATATCAATAAGTCACAAACCGCACCGCCCGGCACGCGGCATCATTTGTCAGCATTATCCGTTTATCAGAAGTCAAGGGTCCTTCGACTGTATTGATTTGTAAGTACCACCACCCTTGGGAACTTTTTACCAATTCGTATAATCTGATTTATTTACCAAAATTAACTAAACACAATATCCCAACGGAATTTAATCCTTACAAACTTACTCCTCTGTTTTCTTCCAGGAAAGTTACACTAGAGTAAATACTTTTATACGATACTCTATTTCTCAATTCAAAAGAAAAACGTTATTCCTACACTAGGATTTCCTCCTGTATCGTGGAGGCAGTTTACATACATAATATTCACAAGGATAAACATCCAGACCCTGAACAATTATTTGTAGACCATACAAATACTTGTTCCGCGCGGGATTCGAACCCGCGGCCCTTAGTGCCGCAATTCATTGCTTTAGCACTACGCCATATCTCTCTATCTGCCAGTGCCATGTTCCTATATTTTTTTTTCATAAACGAATAATTTTAAATGCCATCAGACATCCAGCAAGCAATTTCAACGAACACAAAAAATATATTAAGTAAAAATAACATATAGGTAGAAGCCTTGTGGCTTATTTTGTTATGGTGGTAAGAATGACAAAGGAGCACACTTTTCACCTGATGGTAAGTAAATGCTGTGGCCCATCCATTACAGACAAAAAAAAAACCAATGCGGAATCTAGTCCTCCCCATTAATTTCTTCAAAGGAGCTTGGCAGGTGGGTTGGTAACCGAAGTTTTATAATACTTTCTTTTCTTATATTATCCACCCGCCAAGTATGGCAAAACGGCAAGATTCCCATGTCCAACATTGGCCGTTAAAAAATAAGTAATAATTATTCCAAAGTTCCATTTTTAAAGCTGAAAAAGTTTTGTTCCTTCCTTTTTTAATTTTCGCTAGGATTGTCTACAAAGTTTGCATTATCGATCAAACTGACAAGGCTTAAACCGTAACTTGACGGCGATTAAAAATAATCACAAGAATTTCCCGCGTCTTAATTAAAAGTTTGAAATTTTTCCTCCGTCGCTTGTCTTTCCATCGGTTCCGAAGCAATGACTTTAATTAGAACATAGTGGCGTAAAATTTAAAAATAAGCTGAACAAAGTTAATTTGCTAAAAAGAGTTATTTTTTTTACTTACTATAAGCCAATGCTTGATCACAATCCCACCTGGTGGTAAGTGGTGATAGCCTTAGATGGTAAATCGCACTGTCTTATCGTAACAAAAGCCTATTC